TCATCTAAAAGAGATTCACAGGTGTTTTTGCGTTATTTGACTGAATAACATTTCTTCACAGACTCTATGAATAGTATAAGAAGTCGAATTTGTTAAAACAATGCACTCACCCTCAGAAGGCCAAACTCTGATCGCACTATGGCCATAGTGTACCCATAGACCTTAATGACCACCTTGCCGACAAATGTGACCTTTGAACCAGTACGCTTGTAATTCTGAGCGTCAACCTCAAAAGCTGGAAGGTCTTCCCCAACATGGCAGTTCTTGACCATCGTGTAGGTGCAGTTGCCCATGAAGTTGTAGTAGTTGCCATCGAATGTGCGATAGTGAGGATCGCCCATGGCCCAGCAGGTACCTGCTTTGATGACTGGTGGTTTTTTGACACATGTTGGGGAGTTTGCTTTCATCTGGCACACTTCATCTTTGGAACATTTTATGGTGCTGCAGTCATGTTTCTCTGACACAATGTAAGAGGAGGAGAGGACACATGAGCCATTTACTGTACAATACTATTATGCTATATTATGCTATGTTATGCTATGTTATGCTACTCTACGCTGTGTTGTGCTATTCTGTTCTGCTATGATATGCTATTAGTGTGCTCCTGTGGCGTTTTATACAATATAATGCATATATTATGTCTATGTTATGCTCTGCTATGCTGTGCCATATTACACTATGCTACCCTTTGCTATGCTGCAATATGGTGTGCTACACTATGCCGTTTTATACTATTGTTTACTATATTACAAAATATTATGCCATGCCAGGCTAGACTTTGCTACACTATGCTATGATGTACTGTACAATGCCATGTTATGCTCTACTGTACTGTGATATTTTATGCTATGCTACGCTACAACAGCCTCTATTGTGCCTTGCTATGCTATGCTGTCTTTAATTTAGTGTACAATTCTATACTATACTTTCTATACTATACTATGGTGTGCTATGCTATGCTATATTATACCGTTCTTTATAGCACTATACTATACTGTTATGCAATGCGAAGCTATGTCAAGCTGTGTTGCAATGCCACAATACACTATGTTATGCTGTTCTATGACATGCTATACTACGGTACGCTATGCTGTAATATGCTATGCTATGTTACATTGTGTCATGCTATGCTCTGCTTGATGATACACTATGCTGTTCTTTAATGTTGCGCACTATGCTGTCATGTGGTATATTTTGTGTGACACTATTTTGTGACTGATTCTTTTTACTTACCTGCTGAGTCAGCAGATGCAGGGGATCCATATCCATTAGCATAAGCAACACCAAAACTGTAGACGCCAAATGGGGAGTTGGGGTGAGATATCTGATAGAAGTTTTCTCCAGTGCTATAGTACATCTCAGCCCAGGAGAAATCAGTCCCATCTACTTTTTGCCACTTGAAGCTGTCAGACTGGGGCTTTGGATCAACTTTGATGCTATCCAAATCTTTGTTTCGAGCCACAACTATAACATTGTTATAGAAATCACCCTGTCCCTGCAGGGAGTAGGAAGTGCTAAAATGATTTGTGGGCAGGATAGTCATCAGGAAGGGATCAAAATATTCTGGTGTGTCCTCAGGACCCCCATTGAATTCAAACAGGACCTGGATACCCTTCTCAGATGTCAGATATATAGCATGTGGCCAATCAGAGTAGAACTCAAGAGTCTGTCCTGCAAACATGGAATAACTCTGAACCTTTCCATTAACATTAATGGTAATTTTGGTGGGCTGGGATGCTTGGATGAAAACGCTGTCATGTAAATAGGTAAAGATTTTATGATAAGGCAGGGGTGCAATGATGAACTCTTTCCCCCAGCTGTTTACAGGGAGAAGTTGTTCATATACGTGGTTGCAGGAGGTGTATTTCTGAACACAGCTATGTCCTGAGGAGACGGCAACAGGAAGGCGTGAGACCACTTTAGAGCCACTCAGGTTATCCTGACTCTGAATCTGAACAGTCTCAAATGCCTCGAGCTTTAAGGTCACCTTGCTTCCTCTCCTGTAAAATTTCCCCTGGAATTTTACTGAACCCTGCAGGAAAATCTCAACTGTGTTGGGCTCCTTGTGGTTAGTGATAGAAAATTCTTTAAAGGTGTCTGTCTGAGAGCTGGAAGGAGTGAATACGAGGTACTCAGTCCCCCAGTCCTTCACTGGGTAAACCACAGAGGTGTCTGCTGTGTATTGCTTGAAGTTGAGAGACATCACCGTGACATCTTGGCTAGCCTCAATCAGCACAGTCTGACGGGACTTCATACTGCCTTTCATCTCTATGCTGTTGGGCAGCTTGAAGGAAACACTTTTACCAGGATCAATTTCCTTCTCATAGACCTCACCCACAGCAGTCACCTTGACCTTGGTGCTGCCTTGTGAAGAGGGCAGAGCTGCAACCTCAACCAAGAACCGAGTTTCCCTACCATCACTCCCAAGGTTTTGCATGAAGGATGTGACAAACTCTCGTCCTGCTGGTGAAGCAGAGCTGAGCGCTGCAAAAGTCACAAGGATGTAGATTAAGATATGAAAAATCCAAAAGTCTAATATCATCATTTGGTCATTTGGATAGAAGAGGTAGTAATCACACCTTTTAGGTAAGTAATAGTAACAATGTAGCAAAAAAAGTAAAATCACTGAAATGTACCCTAAGAATCATAAGTAAAAAAAATATTCTATGCAGAATTGTAATATTACATATTAATTATACTATATAATTTCAAGAATAGTTCTTCATTTTCAAACATTTTAGGAATGTATAGTTCCTTCTTATGTCAACTTACCAGTCACCAGTAAACCCACAAGACAGTAGACCAGCCCTTTCATTCTTAAACCTAAAATAATGCACACATCACCAAAATTAACCATCCACCAGTATGATGACAACACATACACAGACATTTTGGAGACAAACATGCTGATTTTTTTTTTCTTTTTTGTCTTATCTTATATTTAATATTCTAAAAGATTAAATGCTAGATTTTGAAAAAAAAAATATGAAATGTGATCATTCAGAAAAAAAAATCACAGTTTAAGAAACGAGACATATTCAAAACATATTCAGGGAAACAGGCAGAACTCCAGTGGTAATAAACTGAGAGCATGACCTCCACCCCAAAATCATTTTAGTGAATTTCAGTTACAAGAAGCAGAGTAGTGATTCCTCGTACAACTTCATGGAGAAGGGAAAAGTGAGAAAACACCAGAAACACATGTATCATAAATACATTTATTCCTTATGCTACAAGTGTTGTTGGACTTTTGACCTCTTCAGACTTTTTTGTATCACTAATGGACTGACAAATCTGACTTTTTTTTCTGGCATGATGCCTTCATCAGAGCATCAAGTTTTAGAAATACTGCAACCACATTTTAGGATTGTGATAAAGTATCAAATTTGCCTATATTTACCATTCAAAGATTTTTTATACATTTTTTGCAGGTAATTAATCCTTCAGCCAACTTAAAAATTGTTGTTAAAAGTATAGTTATAATATTTGAAAATAAATCTTACCTGAACCAGAAAGCCAGGAATCTGGATGAATGGCATCTGGACTGATGCCCTTTTATTCATCTCGGTGATGGCGAGGGAGCCAATCAGGGAGAAGGTGTCACGCTGCCTTCATGGATGCCAAGTGACCAACTGACTAATCACGTGGCAAAATTTTCTCTTTGCATGTGTTCATCTATCACTTGTCAGGTGAAAGGAAATACCAACTTGTCAGGCCCTTGTTTAAGGCTTGATGGCAGCTGCATTTTTGATATTATCCAGGAGAATAGGAGATGTTTCTCATCCCGTGAAGAATGGATTCAAATTATGTGTTAGGTTCTAACCTGACAGTGATGTTTCATTGAATGCATATTAAATATGTAATACACTTCACTTAGGTTCAGACCACTCAGAAGTTTGACTTAAATTAAACTAATTGGCTTACATAATAGATGTTTATCATAGGTGTGTAATGAATATGAACACCAGGTGATTTTATTGAACCCTGTGCGGGGTTCGATTTTTCCAAATATTTAACATTTAAGTAAGTGTAAAATTTCAATCTAGTCTGAAGGCTAAATTAGAAAAATCTGGAGAAAAAGTGAGTCACGACCTGTCTCTATTGTCCAACGACCACACATACAAATTAAAACAAATAAAATAAAACGTGAGTTACAGTGGAGCAGTACTTATAAATCCAATGAATCACTATCTGACAGCTGCAAATTGCAGTTTGTGATAACACTGCATATGTTCAGGGTGGTGAATGGTCATATCTAAGGTCACACCCCTATAACCACTTGAAACACAAAGACACTCCCATCAAATACTGAGGGACACATGTTCTTAATGTCAAAATGAAATGATAAAATATCAATCAAAAAAAGCTGAGAAATGGTAGAGAATCAATCAATCAACACGTCTTTTAACAGCACAATGCAAACAGCAGAAATAATTGTGTGAGGATTGTTTGAATTCTGGGGAGTGAAAACAAGTGAAGTGATTCACTGATTTCGAGTGAATATATCCTCCTTTCCGCTCACATGCAGCAAGTCAAAACAGCATGAGATGTTCAGGATTTTTGCTGAGTGTAAACCATCCTTTGATAACGAGAGGCACACTCAGCCAATTTTTGAGAACGGGAATTGTTTTTACCGAAAGATCTGAAAGTTTTGGGAAAAAAACTGAAAGGTTTTGGTAAACATGTCAGTCTGTGACAGTCCATGATAAAATACTTCACCGGTGGTTTATTTCACCAGTGGCCAAAGACTTTAAGATTGACCTTGGGAAGTTGTAGCAATAGTTTTGCACATTGCACACGCCAGCAGATATCACGAAAGGTCAAAATCACTTTATGTTTATCTTATCCCTCCCTACACACATACACACACACACACACACAAACACACACACACACACACGCCATCATTTCCCCTCACCTCTTCCACCCCCACTTCCAAGCATTTCATACCCACTGACTCACTCCCCTCGCCCATATAAGCTGTTTGCAGATCCACTCATGACACATGTTGGAGAGAAATCTGCCATTTCAAAATTCAGTTCCCACCACACCACTGTACAGCTATGACTTCAACTGGAGGCCTCAGGGGATTTTGGATAGTTGCACTGCTGACTCTTCATGGTGCAAATCTAGGAGGTAATTTCTTCCTGATTCAGTGAGCATTTATATTCAATATACTGTTCCAATTCCAATTGCAATGCTGTTAAACTCTGTCTTGTTTTATGTTTGATTTCCACAGATACCCAAAGAAACTCTCTCAATGAGCCGGACGTCCCTTTCCCGCCCGCCTGTCCCACGGCTCTAAACCTCGCTGCCATTTGCCATCAGGGTGAGGGTCGACCCAGATACCCGGCCAGCTTCTTCCCAGGCTCCGGTGCCAGTCACTTCCGCCGTCGTGGAAACGCCATCAACCGTCTGGAGTCGTGGTACAGTTTGTGCTGCGGTGGACAAGTGGCACAGCAGAGCCACCAGATCCTCTGCTGCGCCCAGCAAGCTGTGAGTCACTCATTGTGTTTGTGTGTGTTTTGGGGGAGAAGTGGAGTCCTAAATGCAAAGACAATAACAGACTGACACAACTGTGACTGTGACAATAGACAGACAAGGTACCATTATGTTGCACATGTTGAGGGGAGATCCCTATTATTATTTATTATTTATTAATAATAAAATTAATCTTTAAGGTGAAGAAACTGTTCTGTCTAGATACATGAGTGTTTGGATAAAGTTTAATAGTATGCCAATACATAATCCACATATCCAAGTACACTGTATATTCCACTATAGATAATATTATAATCTCAGCACAAAGCACAAATACACATAGTGCTAGTATACACAGTGACATAGTTTTAAATTATTTTGTTATCTTTTGGCATTTAGTTTTTCTGTCCTCTCCATAAAATCACAAATCAAATGTATAATTTTTCCTCATGTACAAACAATATAATTTTTTAACAAATTTTATTGCCAAAAAACAAACAAAAAATATTCTCTGTTATCATTAGGTTAAGAAGGTGATTCAAGTCAGATTCGATTCAAGAACATTGTTTAGTGAATAAACAAATATAAGGATTTTAACATAACTATGATCACATTTAACAGAAGTTGTAATACAAAAACTGGTTGAATTTATGGCTTCATAGATAATTCGTGGCAAATAGGAAAAACCTGGTGCCTCAGATATTAAAGAAAAAAGATATAAGAGGAAATCCTGTGGTTTTTTTCCCACACAGAAAGACAAAGTAGTTTGCTATATTCATTAAGAAGTGAATATATTAAACCGAGTGAACAAAGGGTGAAATGTGCTTTTCTCCAGCTGAGGTTTAAACACAACTTTGTGACTTTTTCTTGCAGTGGAAACAAGCTCTGTCTCAGTTCTGTGTGGAAGAATACGCCACTATGACTGTACCATATGAGTGCTGTGAGAACAGAGGAGACGCACGGTGGAAGTGCTTCGACAGCGAGCTGCCAAACCCCAACTACAACCCAACACCAGGCTACACTGCACCACAAGTCCCTGCGGAGCTGGGATTCACCTTCAACGCAAATGCTTGCTAAAGGTGAAAATAGATGTCAGTGTAACATGAAAATACAGATGGTGTAAAACAAAAATGAACAAAGCAGTTTAGTAAATGTATCTGTCGGTGAGTAAATAAAGAGATGAATCTAATGTGTTCAGAAGAATTTGAACAAGAAGAGAAAATAAAAATTCATCAGTCATATATGGAAGATAATGCTGAGCTATTGCTTTGTATTTTTTCTGCAGTCTTTGTCTCAGATGCTCAGAGGAGGACAAGACATGCCGGTTTGGTTTCTGCTGTGTAAGAACAATAAATGCACAGTACAGTTTTTATTTTGTCAGCTCTATATTTTAACCCAGCTTTGTCACAACAACAGAAAAACCATTAAAAATTGGTAGTATTGTTTGTTACCACAATAAAGCCTAAAATGAAGATATACAAGTTCTCATGTGCTTTTTTTCTTCTGAACAATAGTGGACTTGACATAAATTTGGAGAGACACCATCTTGGCAGCTTCAGGAAAAGACAAAACTGTTGAGTTTTGAAACAAGTTATGAGATTTTTCCCATCCCTGCACTCATGTAATAAAAAAAAGAGTCCACCATGGGTCACTGTTGCGTGTGGTAGTTATGTGTGTGACATTAACAGATCAATAATCAATAAGAAAAGTTTAACTGACCTGCCTCCTGAATGGCAATGTGTGGTAAAAGTCACGAATAAAAACTTTGAAACATCTCAACACTGTTTGACTGATGTTTGAGTAATGGTCACATGTTTTGCTAAATATTTCTTTTTTCAGTCAAACTTTTTGTTCGAGCAGTCAAAATAAACATTTTACTGTATGAAAAGACATAAGTTTGAGATGAGTGTCAAGAGGTTGCATTTAAACACGTATTGTTCTGCAGTGGTGGAATGTAACCAAGCTAAGTATAATTTGTGTAATATAATTATTTGTTTTTTACATGAGTGCTTCCACACTTCATACATTTACTTAGCATTTAACTCCAATGTATTTACTTAACAGGTTCTAATTATTTTTTAAGTTTGAGATTTTAAATACATAACCTATGATAAACTTGATGAACTCTGCCCATATAAATCAACATCATGGAGTCAGTCTGTGATTACATCCTACTTGCCAAATACCCTGAAAAACTGTGTCACTGTACCATGGAGAATTGGCACAGTTCTAATCAATATTTGGGGGTCTCACCAAATATTGATTTAATTTAGTTTTTTTCTCTTTACTTCAATTTTCATGGCATCATTTTTGAAAGCATCCACTTTTTACTTTAAGTACCTACAACTTTTGCACAGCACTTTATATTTTATTGTTGAACCACACCATCAATGTCATTTCAAATGTGAAATAATCTTTACAAATGAATGTGATTATTTTCTTTTGTTTATGTTTTATTATGTTATAATATTTTAAATGTAATAAACAAATGATATATTTTTTACATATGTTTATGTATGATATGTTTTTATTTTGGGGTGGTGAACACAATAAAGTTCTTAGTTGTCCATTTTTGGGTGTTGATTTGAAAAAGTTGTTTTATTGTGATATTTTTTATTCTGAAAGAATATTTTACCGGAAGTGCTGTGCTTGCTCCTGCTAGCTTAGCAGAGCACAAAACTGCTGCTTCCGCACTGCTTCCTTGTTTATTAGTTTAAGGAAAAATAGTGCCTTTAAAAAAGAAAAGGTTCGCGTTTTCTTACACAGGATTCTGCGAGAACTCCTCCTCAAGATTTTCGAGTGAGTTTACTGTTTGTTCATGTTGTTTTCGGTCAGTTATTAGTGTGACTGGCTTGGTTTATGTTCAAAAGTTAAAGTTCGCAGCTAGTTCACTCGCCTCTATTTCGTTAAATGTCGCAATCCAGACATCCCAGTAGCTTTTACGGTAGCCTGTTACAACATGTACTGGTCTTACAATTCAGTACCACGTCCCTTAGTTACATTATTCAACACACGGTTTATATCAAGATCAGCTCCTCCATCAGCAGAGTAAGCCAACGTGGCTGATGTCAATATTTGTGGCATGAAGTCATCAGGAGTGTGTTTTTTTGTTAATGAGCAACTTTCTGTCTTCACAGGTCCCCACCTACTCTCTCTGAAAGTGCTCTTCCCGAGGAAGCTGACAAGGAGAGACTCAAGGTCTGAGCTTCACCACAAACAAGTCTGAATTCTGTTACTGCTCTGAATGGCCACAGCTGCAGAGGAGCCTCCGGGGCTGCAGGGCCACACTGGCAGTAAGTACTGTGTTATTATACACCACCTACTATTTGAAGGGATGGATCAATTTTTTTTCAATCAAAAGTTGGTTTTTATTTGCTGCTTTTCCTTGCGTTGAATTATAGTAAACTGAATAACGTTTGACTATTGCTCAAAACAAGAAATATGAAGGTTTTACTTTCAGCTGTGGACAACTGTGATGGGCATTTCTCACTATTTTCTGATTTTGTTTTTCAAACCATTCCATCAGTTGATCAATGGAGAAGACAGTCAGCCAAAAAGAAAATAATCAGTAGCTATAATCCTAAATAAAATACTTAGAAATTAGCTCCACCTCAACCAGCTACAATAGTAAAATGCTTTACACATTAATGTAATAATAATTTAATGTTAAAACACAGGGAACATTTTTCTGGATTGAGTACTTTTACTTCATACCACATGCTTACTATACTACATTATACGTACATGCTTTTACTTTACTAACACTTTCAATGCTGGAGTTTTACTTTTAATGGAGTATTTTTACCATCTCAACTTATTTCTCCTGTGGATGTGGTCAGTTTTTGTTAAACTTCAAGAGAAGTCTGACTGAACTTTAGGATAATTTTGGAAGATGTGGTTTACATAAATTTGGAGGACTCCTAACAATCAGATTAAAAACTAACTGTGTTCCTATGCATTTTCCTATTTTCACATAATCGAAATACCGTAAATTGTAGGGTCAGTTGGATTATTTTTTATGTAGAGACTGTTAACATTGAACCTACTGTATCTAAAAAGTTTTACATTCAATATTTTTGTTTGGATATAGAATCAGTATCTGATCTGTTCCTTTTAAGGTGAATTATTTTTAAGGCTCTAGCGATTTAGCACTACGCATTCATAAAATGGGACTCATCCCATAATCTGTGGTCAAAATCAAAGGAGCTAAAGAGAATATATTTTGACTTTATGTCCCGTCGAGCTCCAAACATGCCAAATCCCACACTTCCCATAATTAAACCAATAACATATATTTTTAGACAAGATGAAGAAAATGCCTGCTCTACAGTTAAATAGTCTTATTATTTAATATGGGGTAATAAAATAAAATTTACTGCTTTCTTATTTTAATAGTTATAGCATACTTATCTAATTCCTCCCATTGCACGCAAAGACCTGCAGAGTCAGTACTGGAGGAAACTGTCTTCTCTCAGAGGTAATGAATGAGGTGCGTCTGCATGCTTGTGTCAGAGCTCAGTGACACTCTCTGTTTACAGCATGAGGGAATTATGTAACCTGTGTTGTTTGATATTAATGCATACAGTATAAGAATTGCATTTTTTGATGAACATATTTCCTTTCCCCCCTGTGTATTTCTTGTATAACTTGTATGTTTTCTCTCTTTTTCACTCCAGATTCAACTGGGACTCGGAAAAATGCTTCCCCAGAGGTAATAAATGACTGATTCGTTGTGGAGGAAATGCATTGCACACATTGCATTCATCTTAAACAGTTGGAAATTTACCAATATTTAGCTGACACATCCTCTTTTGCTTCCTCTTTCAAACATATTGCTGCAAACTTGCAATGAATTATTTTCCACTTGTAATTCTCCTTTCTGCCATGTTTCTACTGACAGGGTCCAAGCACTAGCATGTCTCCGGCCATGAAAAAAACTATTGGCCATCGCGGAATTGATCCCACTGGAGAGACCACGTACAAGAAGGTGGGAGTTCAGCTCATCGTTGACTGACACAGATTTACATTCACTCACTTTGAGTGACAGTTATTTTCATTGTCTGTTGTTCTGCCAATTATTTTCTCGATTAATCGATTTATCTATAAAATGTCAGACAATAGTGAAAAATATCCATCATGATCAGCCAGAGGTGACATCTTCATATGTCTTGTTTTTTTCTCTGACCAACAGTCCCAACGATATTCACTTTGTAAAGTTGTTGCAGATCTACCCTCAACGTCAATGTTCAAAATATGGAAAAACTTTTTTATTTTTTACAATTTATTCTGTTTTTTGTCAGTCTTGTCTTATTGTGGGGATTACTTATGACTGGTTAACTTTTAGTTTAGTGCTTGTTCTGTTTTGTTTACAAGCCATTGTCTGTTGATTTAAAACATGCTCACAGACTTGAAGTATGTAATTCATGTTGAAGTGCAGCGCAATTCAGATTACACTTGAGGTCTTTAAAATGTGTCACTGTCAACATACACTCTCCAAAAGTTGCCACTGTGACTTGCTACCTGTAATCATTTGTCATTTGATACATGTTAGTTTTCTCTTTGTTCCAGACGACCTCGTCAGCCCTGAAAGGTGCTATCCAGTTAGGCATCACACACACGGTGGGCAGTTTAAGCCAAAAACCTGAGAGAGACGTGCTGCTGCAGGATTTTGAAGTGGTGGAAAGCATCTTCTTCCCCAAGTGAGTCTTTGAGATTATGATCATATATCAAATATGATATGCTGAAAGGATGTGCAAAGGCACGCTTTAATTCTTGTATCAGGATGTTGAGTGTGTCCTACATTAATACTCCTATACTTAATCTGTTATCCTGTTACTCTTCTGTCTTTTAGTGAGGGCAGCAACCTGACTCCAGCACACCACTATGGAGATTTCAGGTTCAAGACTTACGCCCCTATTGCCTTCCGCTACTTCAGGGAGATGTTTGGCATCCGGCCTGATGACTACATGGTATTCTTGTTTACTCAGCATCTCAGAAATGTGGAAAAAGCAAGCAGAACAGTAAAACTCTGAAGAAAGGGACAGAGCTGTGAACTGTAAGAATAAAGGAGTGATTGAGGAAGTGGAAAAAGTGAAACTAGTGAAGTGTTGACATGCTAGAGGTGGAGCTGCTCACGATGTGAGGACACAGCTAACCGTTGATTTTCCTGTAATAAACACTTAAAGTCTGTCTTGTAGTCTGGTTTAGATGTCACATGTCTTAACACTGTGCTCTGGTCTGGTTACAGTATTCTCTGTGTAATGGGCCGCTGATTGAGCTGTCAAACTCTGGGGCCAGTGGATCTCTTTTCTACCTCTCAAGTGATGACGAGTACATCATTAAGACAGTGCAGCACAAAGAGGCAGAATTTCTGCAGAAACTGCTTCCAGGATACTTTATGGTAAGATCTAATGAGAGGCTACAGGTGCAAGATGGTATCTGTGGGATAAATGTGCACGTGTAAAACTATGGACGGGCTCCTAATCATTATCCTCTTGTCCATTTATCCATCAAATGCAAAATCTTAGATACCACTGATGCTCTTACAAACTTAGAAAGTAGAGCGTCTGCAGCTGAAATGCTTGATTAGTGGATTAATGGATTCGTTTATCAACTGAAAATGAATCTGCAATTATTATGATAATAGATTGAAAGTTTCAGTCGTCTTCCAAGCCACGATGTCAAACAATTACTCATTCTAGCTTCTCAAATCACAGGATTTGATGCATTTCGTTGTCATATATGAAAGTAAACAAAATACCTTTTGGTTTATACTGAAGGTCGGGCAAAATAAGCAATTTGACCATATCACCTTGGGCTCTAGGAATTTAAAATAAATATACATAAATCAAGAAAATAACTAATGAATAAATTTTGTTGGCCATTTTTGAATTAACACTCTCAAGCCAACGATGGCGCTACATTATAACCTATATATTACCTAATGTTTAACAAGTTGATGTCGAAATAAGCCGACATATTTGTTACTGACGGCATCATTTGTATGGGACATGTTTACTTATGGCTTGGACTGTCTACTTATTTATTCCTTTCATTCATCATTTATTTATCCTTGTTTATTACTGTCTGTAATATTTTACCTTCCTTCTCTTTCTTTCTCTAGAACCTGAACCAGAACAAGCGAACCTTATTACCAAAGTTCTATGGACTGTACTGTGTCCAGGCAGGAGGTAAAAACATCCGTATTGTTGTCATGAACAATCTGCTCCCGAGTGCTGTACGAATGCACCTCAAGTATGATCTAAAGGGCTCCACCTATAAGCGACGGGCATCAGCTAAAGAGAGGGAAAAGGCTGTGCCCACATACAAGGACCTGGATTTTTTTCAGGACATGCCTGAGGGGCTGTTACTGGAGGGGGACAAGTACAGTGGTGTTTGCAAGACGATCCACAGAGACTGTCTGGTGAGAGCAATAGAAAAATGCTTTTCTAAACATGAAGCTACAAGCATGATACTGTCGAATCCATTTTAGATTAAAAAAAAAACCCAGTCTACTAATTAAAAATATCCACTCTTTTTCAGTTCAAGTTAATCCATGAGTCAATCTCCGGTCTTACAGTATTTCTGCTGCTTGATTTCCATACAGCTCTTGCAGAGTTTCAAGATTATGGACTACAGCCTTCTGATGGGAATCCACAATGTAGATCAGGCCTGTCGAGAGCAGGTAAGCGAAGAGGCTGTAGCAGGCGCCATGGACCAGAGGAGGCCACAAGGCCAGAAGTCCCTGTATAGCACTGCTATAGAGGCCATCCAGGCAGAGGCAGGGAGCATGCGATCACTGGACACGGAGGACAAGTGAGTGACAGGGTGTCTGTGGCCATAGAACAGTCATGTGCTTGCTTTTAACAATTTCTCTCACCGCAGCAAAGTGTTTACTGAAAGGAATGACAGAGCACAAGGTGATATTTCTTGTTTTATTTCACAGAACCGGAGGAATACCCGCACGAAACGCAAAAGGCGAGAGGCTGCTGGTGTACATTGGTATCATTGACATTCTGCAGTCCTATAGGTAAACAGTACTTACATGTTGTGTATCTACATACTACTGTTTTTGTCAGTGTCACTTTTACAGTGCCTACATAACCAAAACAGTAAAAACAGCATGATAGCAGTTCAGCAGCCACTTCAGTCCTTCATCTGTGTCTACACGGGATGCATTCAGACACAATATTGAGTGTAGGTTACCCACGTTTTGGCATCTATTCAACCATGCGCCCGGTGCAGCCACTGGTTTTTCCACCGTTAAAATAGGAAAAGCGATATGCACACGCCCAAAATGCATGTGCGCCCCGCATTTTTTGACCGTGCACTTTGGACTGCTGTTGTTAATAGTGGCTGCAGTGTACACCTGCATGAATATGATTCAATGTTGGTAGTCAGATGATGAACGAGCTAGTGATTGTGAAGCAGCGCAAATGCAACTTTAGTGCTCTGCCCGAACTAACAGCAAGCAGGAATGATCAAGTTTGAAGTGGATGTCAGTTTAATGTTTCTGCTTTCATTGTGTTATGTGAACATGTTTGATCATGTAACTTCCGTAAGTAATGTACTCTTCATGTGTGAATTTTCAGATTAGTAAAGAAGCTTGAACACTCATGGAAAGCTCTGGTTCATGATGGGGTAATGTACAGCTAATAGCTTCACTTATGTGTTTTACATTATAAAATACAAATATTAACTTGTAGTTCTTCATTTTTTTCAGGATACTGTATCAGTACACAGACCAAGTTTTTATGCAGAACGATTTCAGAAGTTCATGTGCAGTACAGTCTTCAGGAAGATCTCATGTACGTATAAACTGTATCCGTGGATGAGAATGAACACATAATGTCAGTCTCACTTCCTGGGCTCTTAAGTAGTACTTTTTCTCTCTTTTATCTAGTGAAGACCTCCCCATCCAAGAAGCGCCGTCCAATGGCCCATGGTCCTTTGAGAAAAGCAGCTGGCTCTGGGCCTCTTCTGTCGACCCAAACCAGCAGCAACAGCCAGCAGCTATTGCTCCAACGTCAAGTCAGCTCTGAGACCAGGGAAGACACTGAAGGAGACAACGGTAAGAACAGGGAAAAGGAGAATAGGGAGGGTTCGACTGTGGTATGGGAAAGAAATTATACGTACTGACAACCACAGAGATTTAGTCTAGCAGCATGTATAGGCATGTGAAGTGCCTCTTCCACAACATAGTATTGACAGTATTTCCAACCGTTTCACATAGTTATGCAGTCAGGTCGTCCTGACCTCCTCCCAAAGACCTTACCACCCGGCAACGCTGTTGGCAACGCTGCTGAAACTGCCGTCTCCTCTTCCACCCTGGGAAACCCTGGATTAACTCCCACAACTCAGCCTGTGATTCACGCTCAGGATGCCCTCAGGTCAGTGGGGGTGGATTTAAACAACACCTCGAGCAAAGACCAGGAGCACAGCACCCCCAAGAGGTAAGAGGGTAGATCACACATGAAGATCAGAATTTTAATGACAAGTCCTCTGCAATATATGGATTTAAAAAATTGTTGGATTCATTCAGATTCTACTGAATTTTCTTACAATATGCCGGTGTTACCAGACATGAGAATATACTGTCTAATAACAGACCTAAAACGACACTGCCAGGTCTAAGTGGGAACAGGGTTAGGTGCTTATTGAGATCTATTTATCTATCTACTGTCTATCTATATCATTTAAAAATCTAGGCATACTTTACTAAAATGCAGTCAAATACATCAGACCTCTGAGAAATACTTTGTAATACTCTTGAATTGTGTTATATTATACAAAGAGGTGTTTCTAATATTTTGTATAACATTTTGAGGTACTTTAATCATCTGGCAACACGTATTTAATGCAATTAAACTATTCAAGTGATTAGCACAAATTTTTAAGGACAATTTCCACATGGCACCAAAAATACTACGAAGACGTCTAAATCTAAATGAAAAAACAACTCATCGTGGTTAACAAGGAGCCAGTATTTCAACCTTCTAACACCACGCCTCAGGCAGACTTTCTTTTCAGGCTGTGTGCACGCTCCTATTGGCTGGAGTTAACCGGAACCATCTATAATCTAAGTTGAACTATTTTCCTGGTAAACCTGTTGTAGGTGGTACACAGATAGAGTGAAGGATGCCTGAGATTATAAGATAAAGGCAAAAATGTCTCTTAACCATTTCTTAACAAAATGTATATTCAATTGACCCAGCGTATCACACTGAATACAAGTTCAATTCCATTCCTCCTTTTTTTGTTTTCAGAGCCCTGTTTGGGACTCTTGAAGAAAGTATCGGTGCTGAAGATGTAATCTCACTCAGTGACATAGTTCCAAGCGCAAGCAAATGTTCTGTAAGTTGATTTTTCTCAAATTTCTCAGGTTTTTCTGTGACACATCTGACTTACACTGGGTGGTTCTCTAACCAGCTTCATTGCTTATGCTTTACAGGTGTAGATGGTGGAAAGAGAACAGGACTCAAATGAACCTGAAACAAACTTGGAGGATGATATCAACATGGATGAAATGTTACAACCCCTTTGCTGTGATTTGAGGTACCAGAATTGGAAAAGTTTATCAGTGAGATAAAGTGGGATAGTAAATGTTTTTTTTTTTGTTTTTTTTTTGTTATTATTTTTCCACTTGGATTTCCAAATCTCAACATGGCATGGGCATGTTACTGGATGGCTGTGTTCTGACACTAGTAAGTGCAGGTACATTAATGCTCTGGGTATTGAACACTATTATTCATCTCATATGAATGCTTGTATGCACAACCAAAGATTGTTCTTGGCACTGATGTGCTCAATTAAGCCAGTGTTCGGTGTAGGATGTAACATGAGGACTTTGCCTTATGTAAGAACAAAACTTCCCCATTCAAATTTTTCATTAAGAATTCATTGTTTAGTTTTTGGAAATAATTCCTCTTTTGTGTTCACCACTTGCCGGAGCACATCCTCGTGTGTACTTGGCTCTATATTATCTGGATTGGGAACACAGTTTTGAATAAAATGGTTTATTTTTTAAAGAAATGACTGTAGTCCCACATGTAGTCTTCAGTTTTTTAAGTTTACTCTAAATACAAATCATGCTGGAAAGAGAGGTGATCCTCAGCTTGCAGTTTCTATTTAACCAGCCGTTCTAATGGACCTGTACTTCCATATAGACTGTGAATCCTAACCGTCACCTTTTTTTGTGTTTGGGTCAAAGGGTTATTTTAAAACGATTTGTTGTGTTTTTTTAATACTTATACACTGGACGATCTGATATCAGGGTCAGGTTTAGTGTGTAGACCAATAGACTTATGACCAAATGTGACCAATGGACTGATCATCTAAGTACCACAGCAAACAGTGACCTGGGGCCTGTCTCATTAAATACTGAGTTAGTTGGCTGAGTTATGTTTGGAGTGAACCTATTCTTTTCAGAGCTCGCGTTCGAGTGGTTGTCATAGTAACTAATGCCACTGACCAAACCTACAAGGAGCAGTTTATAGGTGAAATATAATAATATAGGAACCTAAGTGCCAAAGAGCACAGTGTGACTTCATTACAAACTGGTACAATCACTTTGTTTTCCATTATAATTTATAGTATTGTAAATAGTATTAATAGTAAAAGTTTACAGTATAACTGGCGTCCCACCTCGGCAACAAATTCACAAAACAGAGCATAGCTAGTTAGCGGCAGTACTCAATGAAATAAATGTTAATGAAAGTTTGTTTTATTTCAAATTTTAATTTTTCTTTGGTCCAGTGCAGTCTTATGTACATATTTACTGCTCATCGCTGCAGCCCTAGAGAACACTGGGTGACTTTGTTCATATAAAGATACAACCCTGTCATATACACTCTGTTGCCTGTTTATTAGGTACACCAAAACTAATGCAGTTTCATGCAACAGTCCTGCAATAAATCCTACCTTCATAAAGGTTATAATGTTCAGTTTTTGTTGAAACCATTTTATAGGTGGTGATTCAACTGTATGATGCGGTTTGTGGTGCTGTTGTATTATGTTATCCTGGCTGATGTCTATTATTTTTGTCTACCCCATTTATATAAATTAGTTTAGACTAAATAACATAACATCTATTTGTATTTAGACTGCAGTAGTTTTAGCTAGGTGTACCTAATAAACTAACAACTGAGTGTATACAATAAGGAGACACGGTGTCGTTGATGCATAACACATGAAATTAGGCCGCACTAATATCCGATTGCAGAGCTGCACCAGAAGCTGTTTCAGACCTGCACACACGCTAATGTGCATCATGTGCAGGCTAAGAAAGTAACTGTAATTCAGACACAGGCCACCTTAAAGCCAATGAGTGCTAGAACTATTTTTTGTTATTGCTGTGTGTGTGCGTGTGTGTGTGCATGCGTGCGTGGTGCGTGCGTGCATGCGTGTGTGTGTACGCGCTGTGTTAGTTATATTTTACACCTTGTAAATGTCACAAAATGTAAATGAGAGCAGATATTGTAGGACACAGTATAAAGATAGATATAAAGATATAAAGACTTGAGCATTTTGTTTGTTCTCTTTCCTCCTAGTTACTGTGGAGAATGGAGTAGGTCGTCCTAAGATGATTTTTCTTTTGTTCAAAAAACTAGGGTGGGATGTGCAGTCCAAAAGAAAATTAGAAATGTAGATTGGTAAGACTTTTAACATTGCTGTTGAATATTTCAGCTATAAACTTGGGTGATACCACATTTTTGTATTGACACTTTTCCACTTTGCTATAAGTTGCTGCTAAAAGTAAAAAAAAAAGTTACGCATAAAGTAAATATAGTATGGATTACAGCAATTTTAGTGATCTGTTACTTTCCACTCCAGTAGAAAGCCTATATATTCTCACATTGATTTATTTTTAGCATTTGATTGTGACGTATTCCTATTCCTACTTTTTGTATTCATTTAGAATTTCCTAAACATTACGCACTAATTCGTGATATTAATTATAATGTTGATTTAACCTTTGTTGCTGCCTTTTACCCACAGGCATAAGCATTTTCAATCCATTTCTTATCATATTCACTGTTGACGATTTTTTTGTTGTTGCATGTGATTGGCTTGTAATTAAAAACTGTGCACTGTGTGTCATGTGCACAAGCTCATAGCTGTACCGGTAAGCCCATGGCTAACGGAACCAGTTGAGTGAATGTTGTGAGATGAGTTATCCAGACTCGCCAGTGTTGAGTGTAGTGACTGACAACTTAAAGAGAGATTTTTGAGACAGGCCCCAGCTATGGTACAGTTGTTTTTTTTTTACCAGGAAAATATGGTGATGGCTACCTGACATGTGAACATAAGTGAGACAAAACTAAAACTGTAGAAATAGAATTGGTGGTTCGTTACAAGTTGGTTTGAGCACTCAAAATGCAGTGTTTTAATTTGATGTGATGGTTAGGTAACTTTAAATTGAACTTACCATATGTATGCGTGAATGAATAGACTGTGCAATACATTAAGTGAATTGACAATTTTCCAACCGAGATAAGATGAACAAACATCATTTGGGCATTTTCATATATCCATTCTTTTGGCTGTTACATGACACTGTCAGACAATGCTCTGTCCCAACATTGAAAATTAAACTGTGCCTTATTGTCAAAACTCCAAAGCAGTTAAACATGCAGCCTATGAACCAAATATGTAAATAGTTATATTTATTATAGTATTTATTACTGTATGTATTTCTCTGGTTTCCACGTTTCCATGTTTGTTATGGTGATGATGGATTGAAAATGTTCCTTTCTTTAGCACAATAAACCTTTGGCATGCAACTGTTAAAGTGTGAAACTTTAACGATTTTGTTTATATCATAACTGTTTAATCATCCTGTATTTCATCTGTAAACTCTAATCTGTCTTAACTTGCCTTGAATATATAGTATTTCTTACTGTATGTTTTTCTCTGGTTTCCAAAATGTTTGTTAATGGTGATGATGGATTGAAAATGTTCCTTTCTTAAGCACAACAAACCTGTTTCTATGGCATGCAACTGTTAAAATATAAAAACTTTGTGATGATTTTGTTTATTATGATAACAATTGTTAAATCAGCCTGTATACTACTTTGTATACTTTAATTTGTCTTAATTTGCTTTTGAACTGTATACAATAAATGTGTGCACATCTGTATACAATGATCAGAACAATGCCTTTTCGCAGAATATGAATTTACAAGTTTCCTTTATCTTGCTCTTTTGGGGGTGTCATGTTTTTCTACACTTGTACCTTTAGTTATTAAAGAAAAAAATCCACATTGCTTTTCGTTGACCGTATTCCATTATACAGATTTTCAACTTTTTGTCTCTAGGAGTACTTGGTGATATGACAATACATATTGTGAGACAATATAATTATATTATAATATTTGTCAATCATCAGACATTTCTATCGTCAATAATGAGGTAGCTATCCCTTTTATATTTCTTGGTGTATTACACCGTTGCAATGTTGCAAATTAATAAACAATGATTGGTTTATGAAATTTTGGATTTTATTTTTGCATTGATAAAGTTAAGTATCTTAATTAGTAAGACTTTAAATTACTTAATTTGCCGTAAAAATACACACCTGAGCATACCTGATGTTTTATCCATCAACAGTGTCTCAGTTGATCTTAATTTTATTGTCTATATCAGTACAAAATTACATATATCACAATAGAGGCTTTTATCCATACTGCCAAATCCTAGTCTGTATTTGCAGTATAAATATAATTATATTCTATTCTGAGCTGTCTTGATGGCAACTTAAAATCTATCTGCTGATGAAGACAGTGAAATGCAGTGGAAAACAGCTAATAAGCGTATCTTGTTAGGAGTTTTTTTTCAGTCAAAATTCTATTCTATTCTTTTCTGAGCTGTCTCCATGACAAATCAGTAAACTTTTTAGTTTCTTTGTATGACACCTTTCAAAGACAAGCATCTCAATGTCCCAAACATAAGACAATAATAATACATAAACAACTGGCTTTAAAAAGACTAAAGCAGACAATAAGGGGCACTTGAAAGCTCCAGAAAAAAAGTCAGAATCTTATATTTTCTGTGATATCTTCACAACAGCTGAGAAGACTCCATCCACTTGAGCAGATACGGTTGAAAGTTCAACAAAAAGAAGTAGTAAGGAGACCCTCAGTTAAGGTCTATTGCTATCAGTTATTCGTTAATAAATTTCAGGTTACGAAACCTGGCCAATCATATTTCGCTTTGTTCAGTCTTCGTCCAATAGCCTGCGAGTTTGTATGACTACATCAGAGAGCAACAAGAACTTTCCAAGATGGTGCTTGAAAGTACTATGGTCTGGTAAGAACAGAATGAAGTGCCTTTTTATGTGGTTGTTGATCTATTAACTGTTCATACGAAGGCATGGTTCATGTTTACTCGATTAGGTTGTTCATAGACCTGAATTTGGAGGAAATGCCGCTGTAACCGGGCTGATATAACTGACCGTTGACGGTTAGCCAGCTAACGCACTATCGACCGGCTGAGTCATTGTAGCTAAAGTTAGCACAGATTTCCTGTTTTTGTATTGAAGTGTCCGCATTCATGAATGTCGTTCTTTACAATTTAGTGTTTTGTATAGAAGTTATGAACCTCGATGATTTGATTGTTTACACCAGCGACGAATGTGGTGTCACCAATTGCTAACATTAGCGAATCGTGCTAATGCTGTTTTTTATACTGTAACTACAACTAGTTCACTAACTTCCCGGTGAAGAAAGCAGACTTTTTCCACAGTTAGCTGATGGCGAAGAGGAACTAAGATGTCATATTAATGTAAACTAGCTACAATGCCTAACAAGGTCGAGGTTGATATGGTAATGACATATTAATTGATCATGTTATCTGGTTAGCTCAGTGATGTGTCAGAGCCTCGTTAAAGTGATGTTTTCTCCTCAGTGTGGACAACAGTGAATACATGAGAAATGGAGACTTCTTACCGACGAGGCTACAGGCTCAGCAAGATGCTGTCAACATTGTTTGCCACTCCAAAACACGCAGTAACCCAGAAAACAACGTGGGCCTCATCACTATGGCAAAGTATGTTTTTCTCTCTTTAAACATAGAACAAGTCATAACACTTTGCATATGTGCATCTGATAGGCACCGATAAGAGTTTTCTCTTTATCTGTATAACTACTGTACATCAACAAGTAATAATAAGAGTTAAGTGTTGAATAATAACACTTAAAGTTACTCCGGCCTATTGATGTACAATTAGGGCTGCATTATTTTCATTATTGATTTAATCAGCCAATTACTTCATCAATTTAAAATTTAAACTACAAAATGCCAATGAAATTGTGAAAAATGCCTGTTATAATTTTCCACAGACCAAAGTGATATCTTCAGACATCTTATTTAGTCTCACCAGCATTCCAAAATCCAAAGATATTTCACATTTTTATTTAAAAAAGGCCAAAAATGTATTAATGATTTTCTGTCTTTTAAATCAGCTAATCATTGCAGTTCTGAATACATTGTCAGTTTTGATGTACATGATTGCTGATAATGGATAACTGTAGCTGTCTGTGCTACTTTCTTGCTGTCTTATGTTTTCATGTAGTAACTGTGAGGTCCTGACCACACTGACACCAGATACTGGCCGCATCCTTTCCAAACTCCATGCTGTCCAGCCCATAGGAAAGATAACCTTCTGCACGGGCATCAGAGTGGCTCATGTGTGTAACATGTTTCTGATTTTACTAGACTAGACCTAGTAATTATGTTATTTGTAAATGAAAACCTTCTGCCACACTAGATTTTGATTGCCACATTTTTGAATTATTTTCCTGTGTAGCTGGCCCTGAAGCACAGACAAGGAAAAAACCACAAGATGAGGATCATTGCCTTTGTTGGGAGTCCTGTGGAGGATAATGAAAAAGATGTGAGTATGAAGTCTTGTATCAGACTTTCTTCAAGAGAGAAATGTTGATTTCCTACTGATTATACATCATAGGTTTAACAAACTTCCCCACTGTCTACATCACTGTTAATATGTGTCTCTTTTTCTTAATCTCTAACTGCTTCTGTCCCAACCTGCCAATTCTACAGCTTGTGAAGTTGGCAAAGCGCTTGAAAAAAGAGAAAGTGAATGTGGATATCATCAACTTCGGAGAAGAGGTGGGGAATTCTTGATTCATCTTCCATGGTATTGCTCTGAGGCAGAGTAAATTAAAGTATAATATATTTTTTTCTTGTATTGTATTTTCTTGAAATACCATATTTTACACCCCTTACACCTGTTTATAAACAGAATTTTCAGTTGTCCTTATCCTCTTTCTCCAACTGTTTATTTAGGAGGTGAATACAGAAAAGCTGACCGCCTTTATAAATACTCTAAATGGAAAGGAGGGAACAGGTTCCCACCTTGTCACAGTCCCTCCAGGGCCCAGTCTGGCTGATGCACTGCTCTCCTCTCCTATCCTGGCTGGTGAAGGAGGCTCTATGATGGGTCTTGGTGCCAGTGACTTTGAGTTTGGTGTGGATCCTAGTGCTGATCCAGAGCTGGCCCTGGTAAGCAACATAAGGATGGGTTTCAAGGGCCCTATTAACTTATCATATATTTTAAGAGAAATTCAAGGGTTCTTCAAGCAAACATTTCTATTTGTTATGATGGCACCAAAACGGAAAACATGGCACTTACCACCTGATGATAATCAATGATTGTACAAAGGGAAAACTCAAATGCCTGTCCAGTACCCCATTCAAGCTTCTGACTATACTTCCCATACTGCCACATTTTGGTAAAATTGATCAGTTCTCAAGTACTTAGTGGCTTTGTCAGAACTCTAAAAAAGTATCTTTTTAGAGTAAGAAGTGGTGATGCCTTTTTCCTTAATTTCCTCGCTGAGTTGTCCTTATGTATTCCTTTAGGCCCTGCGTGTATCAATGGAGGAGCAGCGACAGAGGCAGGAGGAAGAGGCCCGCAGAGCTGCTGCTGCTTCTGCAGCTGAGGCTGGCATGCCCACACCCAGTGCAGACGGTAATTGGAGGATTAAAAAAATTTACCTTAAGAGATAGCACTTATAATAATACTTATCAGGATTTGATAGAATGATACATTTTTGGTCCTTTACTTTTGATTTGTTTTCCTCACAGAATCAGAAGAGGCCTTATTGAAGATGTCAGTATCTCAGCCTGAGAGTGATGCAGCAGTGCTTCCTGACTTCAGCAGCATGACAGAGGAGGAGCAGATAGCCTATGCCATGCAGATGTCTCTTGCTGGAGGAGGTGAGTTCCATTTGATTATTATACACATTAGGCTGCTGATATCACTTTCAGTCACTCTTATATTTGCTGGTATGTCTGTTAAGATAATAAGTCATAAGTTCTTTTAATGTATACTGTGAACAGAGTATGGAGAAATGGACACAGGGGCTGCCATGGACACTACAGAATCAGCCAAGGTGAGTCATTATATGATCTCTTAGATTAAACTGAAGCAATGGTTAAATTGCTGTTAGCTGGTCCTTGTGTATTCCCACTAGAGTTGTGGGTGCAAAGTGGGTGGAGTTATTTCTGGCGTCCAGGGTTCTGGGAGTAAAAATGTAGTTCACTCTCTGCATAGATATTGGTAAGTGACTGGTATGTGGAGGACTTTAAGGCTTGGATAGAGATGAAAGTCCTGTTCAAATCATACAAAAGTATTCAAGTAAATTGCTACTTCCAAACTTGAGTTTGGTATGAAATGTCCAATCACTGATCTTAGAATTTTGTGTGTCACTAACATAGATTTGAAGCAAAGATTACATGTTGTAGAATCCTAATAACACATTCAGCAGTGGAAATTAGTTGACTTTAAGATTCTCAATTTTAGATGGATAAGCTTTAAAGTGTAGTGTTTTGTTCCCAGTTGCACCAACAAGGGTTTTGATTTTGTTACAGCACATTATTATATTCAGAGCCTCTCTTATATCAAACTTATATTTATAAAACTGATGACCATAATCAAGACCTACAGGATTATTAAATTATCCAGGAGAGGCCAGTGTTTGCTTAGAAAAATTGAGGATACAATGAAAACTTTGAAATGATAAGTTACAGTGGACAAAAATACTTCAGCAGCTCCTCCCACTTTGCAGAACTTAGCATACAAGATAAGCAGACATAGTTTTAGGAGTCACACATGAAAATAAGTATGGATATCATATATATATACACACACACACACACACACAGACACACACACACACACACAGACACACACACACACACACAGACACACACACACACACACAGACACACACACACACACACAGACACACACACACACACACAGACACACACACACACACACACAGACACACACACATACATTTACCTTCACATGAAGCATGACTGAACATTGGATTCTTGGGATCTTAAAATATGTTAAATTAAGACTGGATCCATCCTAATTGATTGTATCCTATATTGTAATTGAATAGGAAGAAGATGACTATGATGTGATGCAAGACCCAGATTTCCTTCAGAGTGTCTTGGAGAACCTCCCTGGCGTTGACCCAAACAATGAGGCCATCCGCAACGCCATGGGCTCCCTGGCTTCCCAGACAGGAAACAAGCCAGATGGCAAAAAGGATGAAGAGAAGAAGAAATGAGGAACAGAAGAGAGGGGCAAAGACTTCAGACATTGACCAGAAAAAACAAACAATTGCAGACTAATGCAGGATTTCTTTAATATACAAAAAGATTGTTGATGCATTGTACTGCATGACAGCACTCTGACATTTAATACCATTCTTTTCTGTCAAGACACTCAAAAGCACCAACATACAAGAAATAAGACGCCTACAGCCCTGAATGAGTGTAAAATCTGACTTCCCAGCAACATGTATTTGATCTTATTGATATAATATGGGCCTATTCTCAAACTGCCTTGTGCAGTCTTTACCCTACATTTTCCCTCCATGGTATAATTACTGATTGATCCACCAGAAGGGAAGAAAAAATTGTGATGACAGGCTCTTAAACTAAACATCTAGCCACACTCCTGTCATGTTTTTGTGTTTTTTGCAATAAAATCTATATGTAAAAACATTGCCTTTTTGGTGTTTATGTTGCCCCCTGAGCCTCATATTGTTGACAGTGCTGTATGTAGACTGGGATAAGAAAAAAGGTGTGATCGATCAGTTCTATGCAGAGACGACGGTCCCGGTTTCAAGTGGTTTCACGCGATGTTTAAAAATAGTGTGTTGAGGACACTGATGAATGTTTTATGTCATTCCCAGTAGAAAATAAATATACGTGTCGTTTGCAGCATCCTCCGTGCATTTTTCCAGCGCTATCACAACCTGATAGGATGTTTCGGATCATGTGACGGGAAGCGCAGCATTTTCAGCTGAAAACGAGCTAGGATAGTCGGGAATCGCATATCCAGGTAAACAATCAAAATACATGCAATATTAAACGAAAATCCCCATCCCAGTCATTCTCTTCTGAGACATCGTCGACCCTACGATCACCGGGTTATTACCGCTGTGAAACCACACCTCAGCAAACCGCTCCGGTTGCTTTTTGATGGCGAGCGCTAGCTAGTTAGCTAAATGACCCCTCTGTCTTGGCTGGAGCTCAGCGGCCAGCTAGCCAGCCTCAGTCGGGGAGGAATATCGTTAGCTCAAAATAACCGAGGTCGCTGCTACGAAACGCCGTCCCGGTTCAGCTGTCTATTAAATGGTCACTACTTCAAGGCTTCTGCATGCACTAAAAGCTTTATTGTAGCAGCGTTTCCCATTCATAGCAAATTAGTGCTGAACCTGTTACCAGAGAAGGGTTTGGTTGCAGAACCGCCGACGCTAAAATGCTAGCTGGCTAATGTAAATGCTAGTGCAGGATCCGTGAAGCTTAGCCTGCTTCACCAATAACAAGTTAACCTGCTGCAGCTTGTCAGTTTGTGTCAAACGAAGGTGCACGCAAGAGTTTACATCGAAAATAGAAATGTTTTAACGACCATTTACGATTTTAACGTTTTGCATGTTGAGCTTTTGTAGTAGGTATTATGCTGGGTAATGGACAACAACCCAGGCATGTTCATGCTAGTGCATTTTGTTGCCTTGTGCTATTATGTCTCTGAATTTATGTTTTTGCAGGAGTTAATCCCGGTATGGGGGACATGAAGACCCCAGATTTTGATGACCTGTTGGCAGCATTTGACATTCCTGACATTGATGCCAAAGAGGCCATCCAGTCTGCCCCAGACGAGGCAGAGGGACCTCATGGAGCTGCAGGCGCACCCCTGGGAAAGTCGGACAGCGTGGTGGGTGTTGGGTCATCCTTGAGGCCGCCGAGCCCCTCAGACCCCCAGGCGGACACCTCAATTGTTAGTGTGATTGTAAAGAATAAAGTCCGCCTGGAGACCGTAGATGGAGGGGAGGGGGAGACAGACCAGGACCCTATTGATGTGATCACAGGGGTAGATGTGGGTCCTAGACTAGGTGCCTGTGCCCCTGGAATGGCTGAATCTGAAGCTCTCAACCACAACGGTTTTGGGGCATCTGGTGTCTCTACGCCCCTTCCCCTCAGCCAGGCCCAGTCTAATGGAGCGTCGTGGTCGATGAACACCCCTAAAGTGTCTTCAGAAGCAGCGGGTGCCGGTGCAAACAAGCCTCACAAGCAGGGTGGTAACATTTTCAACAGACTTAAACCGCTTGTGGCACAGGGGTCTGGAGATCCGGTGGGCCGGGCCAGGAAGATGCAGCTTCTACAGCAGCAACACCAGCAGCAGCAGGATACAGGCCAAGAGAGGGCAGATGGGGTAAAAGCATCATTACCTTCATCCTCCTCTCTATCAGCGGGGTCATCTCCTCTGGCTGCAGGTGGGCCCGTTGGACTAGCCGCGCCTTTCTTTCCACCTTCCAAGCCTCTGCTTCCAACTCCACCTTCTGCCCTCTCATCACACACACTGCACTCATCTCAGCCTTTTAACGGAGCTCCCAAAAGTGGCCCTGCTGGGTTTCAGCACCAGCAGATAGAGGAAGATGATTCTGACCCTGATTTGGGGAGTCCGCTGGTCATCCAGGAGAACCCAGACTCCCCGACTTGCACTCAACTGAGCCGACGTTACAAGTCTGACTCGGTCTCAACTCAGCCCACATCCTCTACTGCATCTCACCCTAAACCTGGGGACACTCCTTCAGGGGCATCTCTAACTTCCTCAACCCCCCAGTCTGGCTCAACAGAGAGTCCCCAGCTGGAGGACAGGCACCCAGAACATGTCATAGAAGAGAGAGACTCACCAGAGAGTCCTGAACCAGAGATGCCAAAATCAACTGCTCAAGTCGCCACTAAGAGATGCTCCAGCCCTGCTGTGGCCTCCACTCCACCTCCATCTGAACTGCGGGAGCCTAAAGAGGAGGAGGAGGAGATGGAGGTAGGGAATGGGATAGATAGGGTGGTTGATGGCAAAGCTGACAAGGGAGAAAATGTGAGAACAGGTGAGGAAAAGATGGAGGTGGATGATGGCAAGCCTAAACCTCCGTCCACTGATGGAGGAGAAACAGGCGTTGCTGCACCTGCTGCTTCTGGAGCTCCATCCCGACCCCTCAAAGTCAGAATAAAAACAATTAAAACCTCCACAGGTGGAATCACCAGAACTGTCACAAGGGTAGCGCCTAAAGGTGGTGCTGCAGGGAAAGGTTTGGACCCTAAAGCTCAAACTGGGGAGCGTAAGGTGTTAGGAAACAAGGCCCAAAAACTTGAAGCTTCCCCAGGACACATGACAACAACATCCCAGAAAGTAAGTGCTCTCAATGCTCTGCCCGTGTCTACACTTGCAGCCAGCAGTGTCATGCTAGCTGCCGCCACAAAGGTCCAAAACAAAATGGCTGCATCTGACAAGGCCAAGGTTTCCGCCACTGCTGTTAGCATCACTAAATCTGCTGCCCTGCCTGTAACTCCAGCTGTGGCCTCCTCTCCCAAGTTCTCAGTTGCTGCTGGTGGGATCAGTGTACGTACAGCCACTAATAAGACGGCTAACGGAGGCAGTGGCACCATCATCGGCGGCACTCTCCAGTCAAACAAACCTGCCTCCATCGTCAACAGCACAGGTGCCGTCATCTCCCGCAGTCAGTCGAGCCTGGTGGAGGCTTTTAACAAAATTCTGAACAGTAAGAACCTTTTGCCGAGCTACAAGCCCGACCTCTCAGCTCCTCCACCACCTGAGTGGGGTCTCCCGCTCCCTGCCACAGGGTACCGCTGCCTGGAGTGCGGAGATGCTTTTGCCCTGGAGCGCAGCTTGGCCCGACACTATGACCGACGATCACTCCGCATCGAGGTGACCTGCAACCATTGCGCTAAGAGACTGGCCTTCTTCAATAAGTGCAGCCTGCTGCTGCATGCCAGGGAGCATAAGGAGCGTGGGCTGGTCATGCAGTGCTCGCACCTGGTCATGAGGCCAGTCACCGTGGAGCAGATGATTGGCCAGCAGGACATAACACCCATTGGTGGTAAGTAGGGCTGCAACTAACGATTGTTTTAATTATTAGTTAATTTGTTGTTTACTTTTACGATTAATTGTTCAGTCATAAAGTGCCCATCACAATCTCCCATAGCCCAATGTGACGTCATCAAAGTCTCTTGTTTTGTCCAAATCAAAGTCCAAAACGCCAAAGAAATTCAATTTACAATTATATAAAACAGAAAAAAAGCATAAAACTTTCACATTTCGAGAAGTAGGAAACAGCAGATATGGAAGGAATTGATCATCAAAATTGTTGATGATTAATTTTCCGTCCATTAACTAATCCTTCTGTATGAAGAGTGTTTGATGCTTTTGGAGTCAACATTCAGTTATGTTGTTGACATGCTAGGACTGCAATCTCTCTGTTATTTTCTTGGAACAGTTGATTTATTGGTTGATCTATAAAATGTCAGAAAACAGTGAAAAGATTCCAGATTGCTTGTTTCGGCCAATCATCAATCAAAAACCCAAAGATATTCAATATATTAATTAAATTCAATTTATTATTATAGAATAGGCAAATATTAAAAAATGAGAAGCAGGAATCAGTTTTTGGCATTTATGCTTAAAAAAATGACACGATGAATAAGTTATCAAAATCTACGTCATAAATTTTTATTTTCCTAGAGAGTCAAGAAAGAACCACAAAAATACGTCATTCTGATTATATTCATGAAAAAAAACAAAAAAACATTCGTGATTCATCTCCATTGACCATTTCCCATTTGTCTCTTCTGATTTCCACCTTTTGGCTGACCAGGCCTGCTCTCCTCTTCGTCCTCCTCTCCTCCAGTCTCCTCTCCTTCTACCACACCTGGAGGCCCCGCCCTCTCCGCCAACTCCAGCCCATTGAAGGATGCTACATCTCCAGCAGCATCTCAGCCTCGGCCGGTCCGCCGTGCACCTCAGGGCCCCCAAGCACTGATGCCTCTGCCCTGCAAGAAGGCCGAGGGGTTGCAGTACAACAACTTCAAATGTCCGGAGTGCCAAACACAATTCTCTGGCAAGGCTGAGCTGGTCACGCACTTCCAGCAGATCAGAGCTGCTCCCAACTCTGTGAGTCTTGGTGGTGAGAGCACAATATATTTCATGCTGGTTTCCATCGGTGGTCACTGATTGTTGCGTTTTATTTTCCTTTCTTTCTGCCTCAGACATGTACGCAGTGCTCACCTCCCATGATGCTGCCAAACTCGTGTGCTGTGTCCGCCCACCAGAGGATCCATAAACACAGAGCGCCCCATGTCTGTCCCGAGTGTGGTGGGATCGCACGGCAGGCCAGCTTCCAGACCCACCTGGAGGAGGCCTGTCTGCACTTTGCCAGGCGCATTGGCTACAGGTGTGTAGACACTTTTCAAAACCGTTGTTATCATTTCACATGACGACTACAGTATCCAGTTGCTAAAAGGTCCCATAACTTGGCCTCCGCTTATGTCTAAACTTCAGTTTCATACCTGATTGACTTATTGTCTAGGTGTATAATGTACAATGACGCCACCACTAGTACCACAACCAGTGATTGTTTTCATGATTGATTGATTAGCTGATTATTTGTTTGGTCTGTAGAACATCAGAAAATGTTGAAAACAGCCCGTCACAATTTTCAAAAGCCCAAGTTGATGATGTATTCCAATTGTTTGTTTTGTCCAGCAAACAGTGGAGAACCTAGTAATATTACATTTACTCTCATAGACAGTTAATAAAACCAGCAAATATTCACATTTGAGAAGCTGAAACCCTTTGATTACTTTTGTGTCTGTCTATTTTGTACTTTTGTGTCAATATATTACATTATATGCATCTACGTATATGTGATTATGTGGTCTGCATTGGAGGTTTTAAGGTGAACACGTATCTGAACATGAATTCAATTTCAGTTCAAGAAAATAATGGAGGTTTAACACATCACATTCTGCTTTATCAAGGTGCTCGAGTTGCCAGGTCGTGTTCGGAGGTTTGAACTCCATCAAGTCCCACATTCAGACTGCTCACTGCGAGGTCTTCCACAAGTGCCCCAGCTGCCCTATGGCCTTCAAGTCCTCCCCCAGCGCCCAGAGTCACATCAGCACCCAGCACCCAACGCTCACTGGAGGACAGGCCAAGTACGTGTGCTGCTTCTATCAAAACATACTTGGGACATTTTCGACCCACGTGCAGACAAATATTCTCAGACGATGTTGGAAAATTACAGTCACGTTTTGGAAACAGATCCCTGAGATATAAATCCCTGGTCTGTATTTTTCTTCTTTTGCAGAATGATCTACAAGTGTGTGATGTGTGATACGGTTTTTACCCAAAAACCCTTGCTGTACATGCACTTCGACACTCATTTAGCCAAGCAAAAAGTGCATGTGTTCAAGTGTCCTGACTGCACTAAGCTCTACGCCCAGAAAGGTTCAATGATGGAGCATATTAAGGTGTGTTTTTTGCAGAGTAAATAATCAGATATTAAATATTTTAGTTATGAAAATATGATACAAGATGATATCTTGTCATTCATAAATGAGCCTTTTGCCTTTATGTGTTGCCCATTCATTGCTTTCTACAGTGACTGTGGTGTCAACTAAGGCATATAGCAATTCTTGGATCGGCCTTAGCAGGGTTCCTCTCTGGTGACCTTGTCTTAAGTTCTATACCAAGTACAGCAGTTATTTTAGAAATGGATATGAGTTTTTGTGAACCAGTTGTTGTAATTGGTATTTTTTAGAGGTTAATGAATTCACTTGCTCTGTATGCCTTTCTGTTCTCTCACACTTTTCCTGCCGCCCACCTCAGACCGCTCACAGAGGCCCATCAGCCAAACAGGAGTCTCAGTCCGATGCCTCTAACCCTGCCTCATCTCCGGCCAACACATCCGGTCCCTCCGGCCTCAAATCAAAGTCCTCTGGAAAACCTGACAACTCCGACGGAGAGGACTGGGGGCGGGAACAGGAGGAGGAAGAGGAGGAGGAAGAGGACGACGATGACGACGGAGATGAGGACTACGAGGCTCCAGGGGGTCACTCGACCTCTGCAGGGGGCAGCAGTCATCCCAGCGCTCCGACTGAGTGGACCTGCCCCCAGTGTCAGACCACCTTCACTGACAACGAAGACTATCTGAGTCATGTGAAGATGGAGCACGGCAAGGTGGGACATTACTATTATTTATTTTAATCTTACTGTATTGAGTCCAGTGATTACAGTTCGGGAGGGCACTGAGGTTTTTAACATTTCAGCGCACAAAATTTGAACTGTTTAACCAGCTACTTGTATTCTGTGGATGGAAAGTGACCTCTGATAGTTCATTGTAAAACAGGAAAAGAACTATCCATATGTGGAGGTGGTGGTTGTTAATTTCCTCTCTGTACTGTAGCGCATTTGACTGAGATTGAATGTCTTTTTATCTTATCTCCGTCTGTCTCCCTGTGTGTGTTTGTGTTACCCACTATAAAGTTCCCTTGTCGTATTTGTGGAGGCACGTTCAGCACGTCTTCCAGCCTGAGACGTCATGAGCGCGTCATTCATGAGGGCAACAAAAGAGTCTTCCATTGCCAGTGAGTCACTTAAGCTTTCATCAAATACATGTTTTGTCAGACACAAATTGACCCAACACTATTATGTTATGGATTCATTATTTGCTAAAAGGTGGTTTTCAATGGTTGATTTACTATTTAGGTATATTAATTACTATTTTAATCCTAATTCTAGAGTTAGACAGATAAATCAACCCCGCCGATATATCATATATTAGCCTATTGCAGATATATCGATATCATGTACATATCAGTCTGTAAGTAATGAGAAATTGCAGTACAGAAATACTAAAGTAATCTAAGGGATCTGTATCGTATGTTTAAAAAAAAATACTATTGGCCTAAATATCAATATCAGGAACTCAAAAAAAAAAGTATCAGTCAGGCTGTATTAATTAGGCCTAGAATTTGTTCAGTCTGGCTTAATCTCAGTGCTGGATGAAGTAATTCAACTCTGCGTAATTTATTTTTCAGATACTGCACAGAAGGCAAACGCACCTTTGGCAGCCGGTTCTTATTGGACAAGCATATTCGGCTTCATCACAGAACCACGGATGGACAGGTGAGTCGAGACAGCGTTACGGACTTCTCCCTGTTCCTGGGCATAAACAGGCTCTTGTCTCAGTTGTAGTCTGAAGCTGTGTCACATTTCCTCACTAAACGCTAATTATAAACAAGTTTTCTTCATGTAGTGTTAACAATGGAAAAGCTGTCAAATGCTTGTCACTGCACGTATTGCATCATTTCCTGTTAATATTGAAGAGCAAAAACAGCATACTATAATGCATATGTAAGGTCGTACATACTATATACATTTAGTATGTGAAAATGATGCAGTTTGTTTGTTTGTATGTTGTTGGATGTGTAAATTATGCAAGTTGTATATTGTCTTTGTTATTAATTATGTACAGGAGGGAATTGAGACACAGCAGTAGTGATTGGCAAGATGTAAATTTCTCTTCTGCCTTTTGCTTGCCTTGTATGTCAATACCGCAGATGTTAATTCTGTTTCTCCTTTCTTGTGTCCTCAGGGACCACCCATGACTAGGAAGCGTGCAGCCACAGGGGGAGAAGGTCCAGGTAGCTCCTCAGAACAAGACGGTGAGGGTGCGCCTCCTGGAGCCAGGGCAGGAGATGAAGAAGAAAACGCCACAGAGGACGGCGAGGACGGCGGTGGGCCCGCAAAGAGAACCAGGGCGTGCGTGGCATCAACATCGCTGACACCCAGCGAGTTAGAGGAGGAAGACAACATTTTCCGTTGCGTCCCCTGTGGCTTCTCCACCGAGGACGGGGCGGAGTTTCAGCGCCACATCCCCCAACATCGGGCCGACACAGCCTCCTTCCAGTGCCTGCAGTGTGGCGTCTGCTTCGCATCAGCCGGCTCTCTCAGCAGGCACCGCTTCATCACTCACCGCGTGCGGGACACCCAGAGTGACGCGGAACGGGGCACCCCGCGCGCTCACGGCTCTCCGGACGGCTCTCCCGCTGCCTCCCCTCAGGCGCTGGGTGAGGACGGAGACGGGAATCTGAGCTGCAAGGTGTGTGGCCGACGTTTCGACAAGGCCACGGACCTCAACACCCACTTCAGGACCCACGGCATGGCCTTCCTCACCGCACACAAGACAGACAAGCCCCAGTAGAGGCGGGGCGGGGTGCTCTGAAACTGACAGATCTTCTACAACGAGGAGGCGAGGGTCATGCCCGAGGTGGTAGAATATGAATGTTGATCCTGAGATAAAAATAGAGCTGCTTCCTGTGCAGTCTTTTTTTTAAGCTACCGTAAACAGTTTTAATCTACGGCACCTCTTCTGTGCGATTGTAACTGCATGTTTGATCATGTTACTGGTCACTTATCTGAACGCACCTGTGATCGTGGAACGGCTCTCAACCCCCCCCCCCCCAGTAAAACAGTTCTATATCAGCCATACTGTATCTAATTACGTCTTGTCCTTCCATTTCCATCACTCTCACTCTGAGTGTAGCCACCTGCCTGTTTCCTCATGTAACACATACTTTAGTACATACACCTCCCACTGTACTCCTGATAGCTGTAGTGCCCATATTTTTGTACTTCATATTGTTCATGATATTCATTTTTGTTTGCTTCAAGTCCACACCCGTTTTTCTGGCATTAGGCCACTTTCAACAGCTCCAGAGGCTGGTGCACAACCGATCTGAAGCAAAGATCTGACGACATCTGAAACATGACAGGAGCGTTTGGAGAATTTGACACTGATTTTTATGTTGCTATAATATTTATTTATATGAAACACATTATGACTCTTGGTATTTGTGTGAGTCGGTCGCGTCAAATCTTGCTAGACATAGTGCGATTTACGTGCAACAGAAACATGAGATGCAAATCTTGGAAAGCATCTCATTAGGAGACGAGGTTACCAGAGGTCTGTAACCTGTGTAGTGTGAATAATGTGTGATGTTAATTGTAATGCTAGAAGAAGAGAGGTCAGGCTTCCTGCCAGTAGTATATGTGTACGAGTTTTGCCATGTAAATACATATAATTACACTAAAAGAAAGCGTTCTGGTTTTAGTAACTTGTTATGATAATGTGAATACGTATAGTATTTGTACTTGTACTGTTCCCTTTTTTTTCCAAAACAATTTGAAGTTTAAAAGAAAAAAAAAGAATCCCCCCCACCCCCAGAGGTAGCTATACATTGTAATTACAAAGCAGAGGGAGAGTGTGGGGGTCGTGTTGTCTTAATGTGTATGAATACAAATGTTTATCTCTTTGAGATGGTTCTTTTTTATCTACAGAATCAGTGCTTGCTGTACTCACATTTCTTTTGTATGTTTCAAAAACCGCCTTCATGGTCACGTGATGGAGGCCTACGAGTGGATTTTTTTTGTTTGTATCTTTTATATGTCATGCTATCATATTTATATAGCTCAATAGTGGAAATTTCATGTCATTTTCTTTTTCCATGGTTGTGGTCTGCTTGCTGAAATGCCATACACTTTTGTGCTGTTTCGAAATAAATGTGTAAAAGAGAGGATTGACTCGGTTTCTCTGCAGAGCTGAGGGTCACATTCAGAGCGATGTCTGCAGCTTCTTTCTGTTAACAAATAGGACAGTTTTCAGGTCTGTTCATATGACATTCACTTGTAATTCATATTATTGACAAGACTAAGCCACAAAGTACAGCTGAGGCTGATTTTTTTTTTTTGCAGGTCATAAACCGTATTGGACAATTAAAAGTTTGACCTGATGGTGGGGCTAGAGGAAAAGTTAATGGACCACCAAAGTTATGATGATTCATATCTGGTGCCAATCCAGGTTGTAGCTGTTGAGATATTTGTTTTTCTGGGTAAGATATAAACTTTGACCTGCTGGTGGCGCTGGAGGAAAAGCATTCATCCTCTGGGGACCATTAATGTCTGTACTAACTTTCATAGCAGTCCATCCAAGGGTTGTTGACCAATGTAGTGGATTTTTCTGCAGAATAAATCTACATGCTCCAAAAACATGAGTCACATCCGTTTACACAGTTTACTCTGTATGACAGTTCTTTCCTCTTTAACATGGATTCATTTTACCACTAAGTGGGTTTTTCACAGCTCCAGCCCAGTCTTGCCCTCAGTGGCCTCCTGACATGAGATCTGGAGCTCAGACGGAGTGGGAGGATGGTGGACTTCAATCATCAGCTCGTAGATCAGTGTTCCCAGCAGCGCTCCGACACAGGGAGCCACTATAGGAACCCACCACCAGCCTCCTCCAGCCCTGCAGACAGTAGGGTAACGTTCAACCTGGGTTTTCCCATTGTAGTCATTAATGCGGAGCAACACTTTTTACTAAGTGGACATAAGTAAAAAGGCTGAAACTACTAACTTGAAAACATCCGCTCCCCAGCCGGCGATGTACGTAAACAAGCGAGGCCCAAAATCCCTGGCTGGGTTGAGGGCGTAGCCACTGTTTGAGCCCATCGAGATGCCAATAACCAGCACAACTGCTCCCACCAGGACAGGCTGAAGACCATCAGGGAGGGAGCTGTTCCTCTGGTCCCCGAGAGCCAGGACACACAGCAGCAATGCGGCTGTTCCTATCACCTGGTGTAACATGGGAATATGTTGTATGTTATCACCATGGTTGTTCCCAGACGAGAGGCCAACAGATAAATCCAAGTTAAAAGAAGTACCTTTAACTGTTTCAGCAGCTGTAGAGATTTCATACAAGTGGAACATGAATTATGAAAAAGCAGTAGCGTCTCTGTATAAGTTCAAGAGACTATTGAGAAATGTAGAACACGCTTATGTTTCACCCTCGTGTGAGTAACAGGCCTTTAAACTCACAAAAAAAAAGGGAGTGACAGTATCTGACCTGGTCTACGACACCGCCCCACACACTGAGGTAGTCGGCTGGGTAGGTGGAGAATATGCCTGCTGTAGCGGTGGGACCCGACACCGTCAGCTCACCTCCACTGTATGCGTGGATGGCATCTGTAGACATCAAAAAAAAAAAAAGAAAAACATGCGAACCACATCATTCCACTGTCTGACGTGTTGCTTCATTATGATGAAGATGGGCACTGTTGTTTATTTCAATCTCACATACACAGTCCTCCTGCCAGAAATACCAGCTGGAGCACCAAATGTGTAATAATTCACAGATGAAAATAGTCCCCAAACAAATGCATCAATGAATCCAATTTAAGTAACATTTGCTAATAATATACAGAGCCAGCTATTTTGGAAATTATTTAACCTTTTTTTCCTTTTGAAACATAAAACTACATCTACGGTGTTTTTCTTCAGTAGGAATGAATATGTTTGGACTGAATGCCACAGACAGGGTTATTGAGAGGCTGTTGGTTTTGGTCTTCTCAGTCATTTGTTGACAATTAGAGAAATAGCACAAGTCTTGTCCTTGAATACAAATAGTCTCCTTGTACCCATAGAAAATGTTTTGTGTTTCTAGTGTCCTATGGTGTGATTGTGATTGCAGTGAAGAAAAAACTCACCGTAGTACTGCAGACCAACAGTTGCTGCAGCCAAAAAGGCTCCAAGCACTTGGAAGAAGATGTAGAAAGGCAGCTTCAGCCATGGATGTCTGCCCAAAACACACAAGCTCAGAGAAACAGCAGGGTTCAGATGGGCACCTTGTTGAAAAGGAAATAATCAAGAGTTCAGGTCTGACATGAAACATAACTTAAAAATATTTTTTTTTGTCTCATGAAATAAACATATTATTATTTTACAAGAATTTCTCATGTTGTGCACAAGCAGCTGAATTTCTCCATTTGGTGCGTCACTTTACAACATAGGGGCTGTAGAAAAAATATTAGGGGTGGAGAAGGATTCAGAAAACGGGTGCGAGTTTGGTCATTTTCCTTTTGGCTGAAAGTAGGGTGGTCTTGACTTTTTAGTGAGAGCAGGAGTAGGTCGTATTTTTTTTCCATGTCCTAAATCTATATTTTTAAGTCTTCCTTTGCAATATAGTTTATAGTTGCACATTACTTGCACCATGTACCATGGTTCACAAATGTGGACTTTGCCATATGCAGAGGACAGCAGTTCTGCCTCTGTATCAGTTCTTCTTTCTTTTTCTTTGTACATTGTTGGCGCACATTAGAAGTTCCTTTAAAACAGTTCTCCACTGGTTTAGCATTGCACTCCTGAACAGCTAAAAGATCAAAATTGATGCAGCTTTCATTCCAAGGATACCTTTTCTTTGAAAAACCTACATTACCCACAATGCAACTCAGCCACTGATCTTCAATTTAAGATTCAGGTGTGTGATGTTAGTAGCAGCTAATGTAGCCTTGAGCTGCTAGCCTCAAGCTGAGAGGAGAAGAGGTCTGCTAAGCTCACTTCTTTCAAACTCTGCACCCCCAGATTTTTTTTTTTACAGGTTTCAAACTTGTAGTCTTCAAACCAAAATAACATTTATCACATTTCACTCAGCTCCCTTTTTTTTTAAAATATATATGCAGCAGGACTCTACACCTGTAAATAAATCAGTGGAGTTCCCCTTTTAAGATATTATGGTTTACATTGGGATTCAAAGAAAACATTAAAACCCTGGGGAGGGAAACAGAACTGTTCTACAGTCCCTTACCTGAGACTCCACGAGACACAAAGACCCCAAATGTTACTCCCAGAGCAAAACCCAGATTGATTGACAGGTACTGTCCCTTCTTATCCCGAGTTGTGGTCACCTGGGCAACGGAGCCACATCCAAACAGCTGCAATTGCATGAGATGATGAGTTGTCTTAACAGAATATAATACTGTATACTGTGTGCAATAACCATACTGATCCAGATATCTGAATCCACAGGACTCTACGGTGCATTTAAAAACTGATAATACCTGTGAGATTTACTGATTTAGTCACTGAAATAATAATGAAAAAAAGATGTTTATATCTTCACTATACAGTTAACACAGAATCTTGTGACACAGGTAAACAACAACACAGTGCTGCCCTGGTGTCATCTCCATTTTTATGAACTTAAATTCTAAGGAAACTGCTTTATGATTTCTGTTGTAAATGTTGATTGCCCTGGTGAAACAGTCATTACATAGACACCAACGATTAAACAAAACCACCCAAACCTCACCAGCAGAGACAAACAAACATCACTGTCCATCCTGAAATCAACGATGAGGGTTTTCTGCATCGCCCTCGCTCTTTTATCTTCCCCCTTTACCTCACCCATCCTCCCCCTCACTTACTGTCACACTCTCTTTCATTCTGTTTTCCTTTAAGGCCAAAGTCCTTGGTTATCTATTGTGAAGACTCACTAGCTGCTTCAAAGCAAGAGTAAGCATGTGATAGTTTTAGGAAACTGTTATATACATGATGTCGAGTTTACTGATAAAGTGAGACTTTGGATGAATTGGCAAAGTTCAAGTTAAATTTTACAGCTTATTAAATGAAATGAAATGCAAAAGCCTGCATTTGCTGGAAAAGACAAAGATGAAAAGGAATCGTCTTTTCTAAATTGACTTTAGAGGGTGAATTCTTTGCTGTACTCTGGCAAATTTACACATTTAGTTAACCTCTCTTACCTTAACCTCGTGCAACTAAAAAACTTAAAAAAAAACAAAACACTCACAATCAGGATGTAGACTCCAAGGCATTCAGCCATGCACTCCCTGATCAGCTGGTTTCTGATCTGACACTTCTTCAGCAGCCTCTCCATCCCTGAGGTTTCCTCTGCACCGTCCGGCCACAGGTGAGCTTTCAGAGCTGGGACTCTGTCATCAGGTGGATCCGAACCGCACAACACTGCAGCCACTGCCTCACTGAGCAGAGTTTGCCCTTTCATACTGGAGCCGTGGTCTACGTCACACACTTTATGGCACGGCTGAGGCGGTGGTGTGTGTGCAGGTAAGAGAGGAGAGTATTTCACTCTGTTGGACATCTTTTTATTTTATTTTTTAAATCTAAATCACAGCAAGCATGATTACAAAATACTTCATCACACACAAACTGGACTCTAGCAAAGAGGCTTGATAACACTCACTTGGTAGTTTAGCTCTCATCCCACCTGGTTGGAATTGGCTCTGATTGCTCCTCTCATTTGATTGGTCACCACATCACTTCTTCTCTAAATGCAAACAGGATCTGATGCCACTCTTCAGGTCAGCATTCTTCATTTAAATCTAAAAAAGTGTGTCCCAAAAATTAAGCAGAATATTTCTTGTTTCACAGCACCGCAAATTATTTCAGTATATTTATAACGACTTGTCCTTTGTGTCATATTGTGTCTGTTTAATTGACCACAACACAATAAAGATGATAAAAAACAGCAATAAGCACATAAGAGCGCTTTTGCTGTAGATTTCAGGTTTATTGTATGATGTATTTAAATGTGCTGGCCTGGTCTGGTGCAGTGGTGCATTTTACTGCCAATTCAGTTCAGATTATACGAGTCCAAAAAAACTGTTACCACATTACAAATCACTGTAAGAGATAAAAATAAATGCCAGGAGATTATCATACTGTAATATTAATAAAATGAATGCATTGGATTGTGTAATAATGGAAAAGCAAAGTGTAGTGTAATAAAGTAAATTTACAACAGGTATTTCATCTCTATTCTATTGTCTTAAATCATTTCCAGTGTAAAATAAGTTTAGAAAATGTTACAAAACCCTCCTGACTTCAAAAGGGGATAAATATATTAGAAGTGCTGACATAATTTTTACGTGGTCTGTAAGCTGGAAGCACTTTTTTTAAATTCCTGGTGCAGAGAAATCAACAAAAGTGTACACCAAAACACAGACCAATATTACTGGCTGTGATATCTAATGCAGATCGTGGGTGAGTAGCAGAGTGTTGTGCCAAGTGAGGGTTGGCAAAAGTCAGCTGAGAGCTGGACTTGAATCCAGGTATCCGTGTGCTAAAAAAAATTCAAACGGTTCAGAGAAAAATTTTGGAAGTAATTTGCTTCTAAGAATTAATGCTTTTTAATCTGAATTTTTCTGTATGTTGAACAACAGTCACTCATGTTCACATTTACCTTTCTGCACATCATAGACTTGAAATGAAGGAAGGTGCTGAAATGTTCTTTATCTTATTTCTCATTGGACCTTTTGGAAACAGCTCCCCCACCCATTCAGACAGAGAAAGGGGATGATGTTTAAACGGCAGAGAATATTAATTGAAACCTTTTAAAAATGAATACTCACATTAAAGGGAATTCATGATTATAAGAGCTTTATGTCTCAGAGAGGAACACAAACTTGTAAGTAGCTGAGGGAGAACACCAGAGTTAGCACCATGCCATTTCATTTCTCCATGTTTATTAAAATGGTTTGCAAGGATGGTGCTCTCTAGAATGTCAGGGATGAAGCCGGTTTTTAGAGGAAAAATCAGGGCGGTGATATCTCCACTCCCCTCTTTCTCATATTTCACACATGAAAGAGCTCCTTGAATTTTTACATTTTAATTGAACATGAATTATCATACTTTGTCTATCAGAGACATCTCTGTTTAAACACAAGGAAACCACTATCCTGACCAATGTCACAGTAAAATATTCATTACATAGGAGCCTTTTATTTAATGGACATTCTTTAGAGGAGGAAATGAAAAAGGAGTTAGGACAGTGGAGAAGAGGAAAGTGGGTTAATGTCAAACAAGCTAAATAAGCTAGAGAGATAAGAATAAGTGGATTGCAGTCATGCATACCCCGCCTTGATAAATGAGCCACGCTGATGAGGACATGATAAGCTTGATTCCAGATTAGAGTGATCAAGAATGTTATAAGCTTGGTAGAAACAAGTCGGCACGCGAAGACATGACAAGAACAGAACAAGCTGCATTCGTCTTAGAGACGGTGCTGTTTATGTTTCACTGGCATCTTATGTTGGAAATTCCCCCAAGTAAAACAATATTATAGTTATTATATACACTGTGAGAAATCAGGTTAAGGGGGGGTTGGATTTAAAATTCATACGTTCCTTCACCAAACGGTTCAGTTGTTCCAGTTCCTGTTTATTCTGTACACACTTTGCAGCAGCTCCGTCCAAACCATTTTGTTGCAGTTCTCTCACGCTGTCAAAGATCACTTCGTTTACTATCCACAAGTCATTCACTGCAACAGCATCCGTTTCTGAGTATACATACTTTGTTTCCCCTTATACTACTTTATTTGATGCAAGTGACCTTTAATATCCAAGAGGTTATTAAAGAATAAGAGTCTGATGTGAGTGAGAAAGATAAACCCCAACATGACAACCAGATAATGCTGTTAGAACAGTCAATTGTTTATATAGAAAGATCTAGTGTGCAAAAACACCATGAGTATAAAGTAAACTGGAGGAAGGTCTGCGATGTAAGGATGAACATTTACACAAGACACAAAGATCTGCGAGTATTTCTAAAGAAATGCCAGAGTTCACTCGAGAGTTAAAATCTCTTGTTTAGACTGCAGTGTTCGCTAGTGTCTGAAACCAGAGGATTAACTTAAAGTTGGCAAAAAAGTGTCTGACACATGAGCATTTTATTAACTGTAGAAATAATGCTAAAATGTGACTATGTAACTTTTGCTTAACATTGGCCATTTAAGCAAAAACTCCTAAATAAGGTGAACTGAGTAACAATGTGTTTTGTCTCTTTCACTTATACAAAAATAACATGGAAAAAAACACTAGGTAAATATATTAAGACTTTATTAGATGCATCACACACTCACATCCATACAGGCCTGTCTACAGGACAATACAAAAATAAAATATGTAATTGTGACTTGTCCAGGTGTTGATGTATGTCTTTGGGATTGGCCGCCTCTAGTCTACGTGTTCAGTTGAAAACCCAGTGCTATCAACAGGCCAGTGACCCTAATCCAAAACAGTAATTTTGGCAACTGAAGGTCATGTATGTGTTCTGTCCATATATAGACATATCTTATAAATATGCCAACTCACAGGTCTACAGAAACACTCACATACTGAAATATTTTCAGTGTACAAAAGCTACGGTCAATAAGTCCAGAGAGTATACTTCACTTTACATGTTATTTAAACCCTCCAAAGAATTTGGAGAATAATGAGTCATAATCCCGCATGTCTGAAAAGGGGTGTTGACCACCTGGAATAAAAATAAGAATAAGAATAAGTGAAAAAAAATACCCTGAAAACATGTATAGTGAATCAGCTGAGAGTTTAAATACACCCAGTGCCCCCCACCCCACCCCAATGCTGTACTACTTTTAAACTTGTTTTTTTTTTTTTATCATTAATTTTTTTGTGTTCGTACTCAATTTTATCTCTATTATTATTATTATTATTATTTGAGGGGATAAACTCACCTGGTAAAACAGAGCCAGTCCGATGGTCTGGTCCCTCCAGGCCCGCAGGACCTCCAGAGCGCGTCACTGTGGTCTCCTCATTGCCTTGGCCGTCTCTAACTGTTCGCCTCTCCTCGACCGTCTGACACACAGGCACAAAACCAGAAAACTAGAATTACCACCTTGTGGTTGTTTGCCTCCACCAGCCAGTCAATTTGTAGTTTATATCTGTCTGTCTGGATAATATATGAAGTGAAGATTTTTCATTTTATTGAAATTAAAATTGATTAAATCAAATTAAATGTAATCAAATTAAATTTCAATCAATCTAAATTTCAATTAAGTCAATGTGTTTAATTAAATTTAGTTGAGTACATTAATTTAATTAAATGTAATTAAACTAAATTAAATTAAGTGAAATTAATACCCTTGGCATAAATGCTCAGAAAATTTAAGTTAAATTTACACGATCAAATTTGACTCAATTGACTTGATTGAATTCAATTGTGTGGAACTAATTAAATGTCCTTTATGTCCTTTAATTAAGTTTTAAATTAAAGAACATGAGTTAATGGCATAAAAAATCATAACTCACAAGTGGTAATATAAATAAAAAGCCATTTTGTGCACTGCTACTGTGTCAAAATATTATAAATGGCCTTGCAGTACTAAGAGTGCTAATGTTTTTATGGTGTGTGGCCCTTGCAACAATCATTTCACAGTCCCTGGCCCTCCCTATCACTATCATGGTTTTCCCACTGGGATAAAATGGGCAAATTTGTTTCTCCGTGTAACACTTGAAAATCTGCTGTGAAAGAATATTAACATATGATTGACAATACAACTCAGATAAACAGTTTCTCTCACCCCATCAGGTTTCACCACCTTGGTGATACTGACTGACTGGAAGAATGATCGGATTCTGGGCTGGTTCGGTGCCTGACCAGCAGGTGGTGTCAAAATCTGGTCAAGGCCCCCAGAGGACACTGCAGAGTCCAGATCTGGAGAGAATGGCTAATTAGTTGGATACAAGGCGAAATCACACAGTACATTTACTCCATCTCTTTTTCTAAAGGATTGAAAATATCCCCTACCTCTGTCTCCTTTGTGCTCCTCCTCTGGAGCTTTCTGTGGCCCCCGTCTCCAAATATCATTGAACTTAAAAGACATCCAAGAGTAGTTTATACATAACAGTTAACAAAGTTAAAGTTGCCCCCGAAACAAAATCATGATGAATAAGTCTCATTTACCTTGGAAAAAGGGTGGCCATCAATTCTGGGCTCTCTAGAAGTCCCTGGTTGAGGCCCTCGTAGGCCACTGTCAGGGGTTTTCAACATAAAGTCTCTCAGGGGATTCCCACTGGATCCCCCTCCTCCTATCTCTGCTTTGTCCTGAGATGGTGGTCGCATGATACTGGGAACACCTAGAACATAAAGGAAACAGAGACTACAGCTGAGAAAATGAGAAAATAAGAGAACAAAATTAGATGACACAGGTCTTCACTTTAAAACTGGATGGTATCTTCCCCCCACAACTGAAATCATATTTTGATTCAAGGGTTGTCAAATCCAGATCAGTGCACAGACGCATGTGGCATCACCTTTTTCCAACTAAACCAGAGAGAAGGGCACAAACAACAACACATAATAATGGATAATAATCTTGAATACATCATGGCTCAGTGTTTGTACCAAACTGTCCAGATTCTGGCTGTCCATCCCAGCGGCCCATCTGGGAAAAGATCTCCTCCATCTCCCTGAGGACGTGGCCGAACACTGGGGGCTCCTGGATCCTCATCCCGTCTGGACCAAAGCTGAAGCCAAACCTCCAGGCACTGTCAAAAGGGTCCTGCTGGTCCCCCCGGTACCCATCATAGTAGAATCCATCCTCATCGTCTTCCTCATCATCATCATCATGAGTCATAGCATCGAAGAAGGGGTCCCTGACACATTACAGTAAGCAACATGGATGAATGTTCATGTCAATAATGTGTATTGACTGATTAATGGATCCCAAAGCCCTCAATCTTATTAGACCCCAGGTCACTCTCGGTCTAAATAAAACAGCTACCATGTGAGCTGAGGCACCCCTGTGGTTATCTTGGCAGAGAAGCACTAATCTTGACCTTTCTGATAGAGCTGAGGGTGTCTAAAGCTGTTTCATTACCTAACTACCCCAGCACAACACGGACCGAGCTAACGTTAGCGAACTTCTGTTAGCTTGTGTTCTCCTCTCCATAAACTTACCTTCTGCCACGATGATGGCCTCCAGGTACTCCGAAGAACCCACGAAATAAATCAAAAACACTCATTTAGTGACAACTGCTTTGTACAAACCTAAATCATAACTAAACAAACTATATATCTTCACCATCTGGTACCAACGGCAGACGGTCACAGTTGTCAACAATGTCGTAAAGTGTTCTGGATACTTCCCGAATGACGTAAGCAGACGTAATTCTACGTTACCGTAAATCCATCTCAAAGACGAAATGCGAGCATCTAAAAAAAAAAGTGAGATGTTGGGAGGTTATGACAGTTCAAATGGGCGCAGATTATTACCCGTCGTCACTGGTACATTGTACATTTACTCAAGTACTGGAGAAGTACAGTTTTGCGTCTAATTTACTTTGTGTACTTCTAGTGTTACTTACACTTCGACCTGCCAGCATATAAAATGTCAGTGGTGGAATATTACCAAGTACATTTACCCAAGCACTGTACAGTTTGGACGTACTTGTACTTTAGTTGATTATTATCTTCTGTTACTTGATACTTCTTCACTATATTTGGCTAAAAACTGGTTAAATTTTAGCTCTACCTTGAATACAGATCCCTCTTACACGTTAATGTATTACACATAATAAAATTATTAAATTAAATAATTTATTTTAAATTTTACATATTAAAATTTTAATCTTAAAGCAAATTTTGATGCTAATACCTGTACTTGGATAAAAGTTGTAATGCAGGGCCTTTACTTGTATGGGGTATGTTTATACTGTATATATTATTTGTAAATTATACTTATATTCCGATCTCATTACTTCTTCCACCACCATAAAGTATGATGTACTGTTATAGAATACATCAACATACCGCTAACACGTCAAGCAGGATGGACAATATTATATCAAGTGGTTAAAATTTGCTCCATCTTGACCAAAGACAACATCAAAGTGCTGCTTACATACTAATGCAATACAAAAAAAAAAAAAATCTGAGGGGCTATTCTGCTGGATAATGAGCACTTTACTCAGGTGAAAGGACATTCACTTTCAGAAATACCAACATGTGAAAGTCCTTCGTTCAAAATGTTACGTCTATAAACTAATACTGGTTAATTACATGTCCTGGGTTTAAAAAGTATAATTTTCCTTCAGAAATATGGTGGTGTATAAATATACAGTAGAAAAAACCAAACACTCAAGTACATGCAACTCAGAATTGTAAATAGGTACAGTACACCCGCTCGAGTACATGTACTATACTTTCCAACACTGCTTTTTACTTCACGTCTGATAATTTAATGCCCTAACTATAACATCCCATGAGGAAAACAGGACACATGTCATGACATTCTCCTGTCAGGACCAGAATCAGAATGTAAAAGGTAGAAATTTAACAAGAGAATATTCATCTATTTAGGAAAGGTAACTGGCAGCAAAACTGCCATGTAATTGGCATCCTCCGTACATGGCAGGTATGTTCAGCAGATAGCTGTCAAAATCACATAGACCAGGTTCATTTAGATGTAAAAAAGTGCATCCAAATCTTGTAAACAACAAAGAAGAAACAAATCTCTGGAGATGTGCTGTGTTTGGAGTTTAATTTGGTACTGCTGATCCCCTGGAGTCTGTTAGATAACTCAGGCCTATAACAGAAACCAACCCCAAAGCCTCTGAGTCAGATGGTTTCAGTTGTGTTAAACACTTGATGGCACAAGCTTCTTTTTACAGTGTTTGTCAATTCACCAGCCTTGGGCAGCGTTCAGCAACACACACAAACACTGAGCATCACTGTCAAACCACTGGAAGATGCTGCTGCTGTATTTACAAGCCACATGAGAAACAAATATAGTTTCTTAAAAGACATTCACATCCAAAATGATGAAAATGTCTTTTTCTCGTTTATTTACTTAATATTTATATATTTTTACAAAATAAAAAAAATATATGAAACAAAAAGCTAACAAGTCTGCAAGGATTTGAGAAAGAAAAGGAGAAAGCCATCGAACAAACAGGGACTACAGTACTTGTGTTTTTTTTTATATATGTACAAGACAAGTTTATCCATTTAAATTTTTTTTAAAACGCACAGTACAAAAAGAAAAAAATAAATCACTGACAAAAAAAAAAAAGAAAAAAAAAAAAAAAAAACCCATAGTACAATTCTGTCCATCAGTATTCAATGCTGCAGTTTTCCTTACAATGTCAGGGGACAGGCGGTGGAGCAGGGAGGAGGTGGGGGGGCCTCAGAAACAAACAAAATAACACACACTGGAAGGCAGACTGGGTGTGTATTGGCCTTGGAAATCATTCTAAACATCTCTTGCAGAATAGGTGCGATCTTTATGCAACATATTTATAATTCATGGGAACAGTTACTGTACAGGTGTTGGATAATGAAAAACCCTGTGCTAGGCAAAAAACAAAGCACAGTACACAACCACGGCCCCTGTGTGTACAAACATGCACGCAGTCACATGACAAACACACTTTCCTCACAGTCCAAGCCAGTGAGCTCGCTTATATGTCTTTATATATAATATATCTATATTTGGTAAAAAATAAACTTCACAACTCTACCAATTTAGAGAATTGTTTCTTCAAACTTAAAATGACATAAAAATGAGGAAAAAAAAAAGAAGAAGAAAAAAAAAAAAACATTTAACAGCAATTAATCAAACTACTGTGTTTGGATATTTTATGTGGGAGGGAAGTTTCCACCAAAATTAAGGAGTGGGGAGTTGAGGGTGAGAAATACAAAACCAGCCTGTCCCCCCACCTTCAGATATTACATCATTCCTCCCCATCAGCAAGAAAAAAAGGGGGGGAAAAAGACCAAAAAAAAAAAAAGCACAGGAAATGTTCATTCTTTTAGAAAACAGTTCTATGTTACATACAAGTGAAAGAAAAAGGGGTGGGGCAGGGGGATTAACATGATACAAATTCCCAACACTCAATATTTCACCTCTTGACGGTGTATTTCTATAACCATTTAGCTCCGATCTCCCCTCTTTTCTAAGCCCCTCCTGTCCCTCCCACCCATCCATGCATCATTACAGTGCTCGTTCTCTCGGCACAGCACCTCCTCTGACCGCAGTCAGAGCTGCAGGAGTGCTGGGCCAAGAGACTGGGGAGGGAAATCTTTGCAGGAGGAAGAGGGAGTTTATATGTGGAGACTGTTTGCGGAAGGAGTGATGAGCCCCCTCCTAGCTTCTGTCAACAGTTGGGGGTGGGGGGGCCCAACAGCGGATGTTAGTTTGCCCCCCAGTTGTAGCTGTTGTATGCCGACTTGTTGATCTGAGACTTCTGCTGAATGGAGGCGTTCTGGCTACGCTGCCCAGTGCCGCTCTGCAGAAGGAGGAGAGAGTTCAGTGAGCCGTCACATCATGCCATGTGTTTACTCAAATACTGTGCAGCTTAATGACAAGACAAACCTCTATACACTTTATGATTCACCCACCAAGGACAATTTTAAATGGCACTGTATGAGTTTTTAATGGATCTACCCATCAAATAAATGTACAACATATGCTAACACTTGTGTATCAGTGGCTACACAGGCATGTATAAGGCATTCACATGCAACATATTAATCTGAACTGAAAAGCGTAACCAGCTTGATACCCTGTATACATAACATCGGTTGCATTAGTTCGTCCTATGTAACGATGTTTCTGTGTTTTATGTTCATCTTCCTGTAGTACTTAATGAATATTCATCTTTAAAATAAAACCAATAATGGCATGTAACACTAGGTGTTATACATTTGGACCCTTTATGAAAATCATCTAGGCTTCCACACCAACAAATATGTTTTGTGGTACTAGATGTGATGTGAGGATGACTTCAATAGCTATACTAATTTTAAATCTGTCTGCTGATTGTGAACTGCCAAAAAAGCTCAAAATCTCATCTGTGTAAATGATGGATATATTTATGCAAGATCATTTTGCCACTCAGGTTGTGTCCTACTTTTTATATTTTGGCAGTTCCTCATTAAAAAAAGGAGTGAAACATAGAACCCACACTGCATTGTAACTTTCTCCCTTGTAATATCAGGGTACATGAGACCTCTTTTTCTGACCAGCTGCGCTGAACTACAGGTGTGAAAGGTGCACCGACAGATGGAAGCAAACAAAACAAGCATGTACATTACCTGTCCGTCCTGCTGCAGGTGGTGGTGCAGAATTTGAGAATGGGGTTGTTGGTGCGGTGCCAGGATGTGCATGAATGGGGCTGGGGCGTAGCCAGCGGCAGCCGGGGGGTTGATGGGTCCCCCACTCCCTAAAGCCGAGGGCAGGCTGAACGAAGCTGCCGGCGTGCCAGCGTGGAAACCCTGCTTCTCAAACGACTGCAGGGAGGAAGAGAGAAAGAACAAACATGACATTTTTTGCTTGATTCAAACTGTATTTGGCCAGTCTCTGTGACAACCTAAAACACAAAGTAATAATTTAAACGCAGTTTTATCATATGCCATTACCATATGGAGAGAATAAGGGTCCATTCCTGTGAGAAAGGGTTTAGAATATTTATCGAAACATTCATGTTCTGTAATTACCTGCGTCTTTGTGTAAACAGACCCTGAAATATCTGGTACCCCCGTGTTGCTTGATGTCACAGAGACTCCTGCAGAGACAGGGGAAACAGGACATAAACTTAGTCCAAAAACTGGTCAACTAAACATGTAAATGGGACTTTGTCACTTAGCAAACCATGACCAGCCACATGGTTATGAGATTTTAATCTGCATAATTAGTAAATGGTGTATTAACAACAGGGAACCTAATATCTGTAATTCTATAAACACTTTATATATGTGTATGAACACTTTCTCCAAGTGTCTGAGTAAAAAATGCTTTCGTTTCAAAACAAAAGAGAATCCTGGGAAATTTCAGGTATAGTATCTATGTCATCATAAGTTCATAGATAATAATAGTAGAATTTCCCTTTAATGACGACAGAGACAGGGTGAGGGGATGAAGAGGGATGAGATGAATTGGAGGAGGGATGAGGAAGGTGATGTAGCAGTGTATCAGTTCCAGTCAGCCACAGTGGTTTAAGCCTGACTGTATCTGGTGGTTACTGCTCAGGTTGTTCTGGCACACACTGACCCTCTGTATCGCCATGGAGACGCAGAACAGAGTCAACTGGTGTGCAGAAAGGAGGAAAAAAAAAAAAAAAAAAAAAACTCACTT